TTATCCCCGTTCGGGGCCTAGGCTGCCCCGGGATTATATATATACATCCTTGACTACAGAGGACAGTGCTACACGGTCAACGCGGATATTGAATGTGAATTCCTGGCTAGTTTTAACTACTCTAGAAAAAAGACTATTCCTTTAGTCGCAGTTCTCCGCGTCGGCCATGGCCTGGAACAGGGGCACGCTGCGGCCCTCGATGGCGGACAGATCGCGCCGGGCGGGTCGGGTCCAGTTGCGGCCCTCCCAGTACGACTCGTTGGGCAGCTCGGTCCGCTGCAGGCGTCTGGCGACTCTCTCCACATCCGACCAGACGCGCAGGATGTTCTCTCCCGCGAGCTTGCGGGCCTCCTCGCTGGTCGCTCCGCGCTTGAGCACAGCGGCGATGAGGTGCGGGTATTTCGAGACGTCCTATTAAAGTGTCAGCTCGCAGATTCCCACAGGACATGGGGTTTTGGGAAGCCGTCTCACCTCGAGGCCCTTGGGAAGGTACACGGTGCCGTCGTAGTCTCCTCCGATGCCGACGTGGTCCCAGCCCGCAACCCTTGGCGATGTGGAAGATGTGGTCCACCACGTCCTCGATATCAGCCGAGTCGGGATCATCCACCTTGACGAAGCGCGACACAAAGGTGACCATCACCACGCCGTTGTTCTTTGCAACACCCTTGAGGACGTCATCGGGCAACGTGGCGCAAATGGTTGGAGACCGTGTAGGCGGACGAGTGCGAGAAGATGACCGGTGCCCTGGCCACCTTGAGCGTGTCCCTCATCGTGTTGGCAGACACATGCGACAAGTCGACCAACATGCCGAGGCGGTTCATCTCCTTGATGAATTCAAGGCCAAAGGGCTTGGTCAACCCGGGATCCGGCCTGCCCTCGGCAACGGTGGATTGCGCAGTAGCAAACGCATTGTCACAGTTGTTTTTGACCGTAATGTAGCGTACACCCAGCTCATAGACCGGCGTAAATCGGCCAAAGAGTTGCCAATTTGATGTCCCCCCTGCGTAGAAGAAACATGATGAGCCTCTGCATATTTCAGAACAAAAGGCCACAGCTTACCTCGATGCCCAGGAAACTGGCAATCTTGCCTCTCCTAAAGGCATTGCGAGCACATCTGGAGTCTCCGCAGAACTGCAGATCGCGCGAGTATCTCTCAATCAATCGCTTGGTCACGTCAATCTGCTCAAGCGTATCCCGCACCGACCACTGCACCATCCCCTCAAATCAGCCATTCCACATCCTGTACACACACGTTTTGAGAAACAAATACATACCGTCGGGTCGTCAATTGGGATCGCCGGGATCGGACACGAAGTATACACACTCCAAAACTGTCCGCCCACTCGCCCCTTTCGAAGCCTCTTCAGGTCCGTATGGCCAGACAGCGTGCCGTCAAAGGGGATCTTCCCGTCGTAGATCTGGAGCTTGGTGGTCTTGCGGATGAAGTTTGGGAGATCATTGTGGCCGTCGATGATTGGAGAAAACTTCAGAATCCGCTCTGCGCGTCTCAGGTAGTTGCTGTCGCTGTCCGGCGTGGCCGGGCTGGCAGACACGGGGCTGGCCAGCAGAGAGGTGCAGGCGAGGATGGACAGCAGGGAGCCGGCGCTCCGCAGCCAGTTGCCCTTTTGCTCCGTCCGTTGAGACATGGCTTCAGCTCTCCAATATGGGCAGACCACTGGGTTAACTGTAGCAGCGGATATCCAGAGACGGTGGAAAACACAAAAGGAAGAACGCCCGACTCCAGCGAACCGGCCGTTCTCCCGCCAATATATAGACCACCGGGCTCACCCATGCCACGGGCCCATGGAGAGGAGAAATTCTGGGGCAGGCCCAGAGAAGAAAAAAAAATTATACGAGAACCAGCTCCGCCGTTACCTTCTCCCCATCCCCCGCAATTCTGGGCGTCAAAATTCCCTTTCTTTTTTTTTTTCTTCTTTCTCAAGACGCAAAACAAGCAAAGTCCTGGACCCGGGGAGAGGCTGGGGCAAGACAGAAACTGGAGCCCCAAATCCATGCCGGCGTTGCAGATCAGTTCTTGTAAGCGCCTGGGCGGCGTCCCCGGTTCGGTTCGGCTTGGAGAAACAAATCAAACGCACTGTGCGCGCCCATCTCGGCATCGAAGGAGAGGGGGAGACGACCCTCTTCGATCGACGCGGGCTCGTTGAAGGAGGAAACCTGGGGTTCGGCTGCCAGGGTTACGCTGCCGGGAAGAGCTCGATGTAACTGTGCCTGGAGTTGCGTCTGGAGAGTTGAGGAGCTCTCTTATTAACTAGTAGCTGGACGGAGAAGAGGGCATTTCTGACCGCAATGCCGGGCGTCGACGATGGGGACTCTCCTCCCGCAAGACATCGCAGGTAGGATATTTTTTGTTGTTCAATTCCGCGCTCATCTCTGGGTCTTATAAACTCCATACTAAGAGAGGGATCTGAGCCGGGGATCCCGGTCGAGGGCGCGATGCCAGCTCAACTCTCGTCTGCATCGATGCAGTTTCTTCGTCGTATCTCGATGCATGGAACTTCACCTGTGCTGTGAGACAGGCGCGGCAAGCAGTAATAATAATATATATTCACCGGCAACAAACTGACTAGTTAGCTACAATAATTTTACCAAAATCTGCCTCAGTCTCGTGGAAGCTCACAAGCAACTGGGAATCCTGGGAAAAGCTCGCTTCTCAACCGAATCGAAGCCGGAGACAGCGGAAATTCTCCAGGAGTTATCTCTGCTCGCTAAAGTGACAGCAAACCGAACCTCCGGTCTGGCGACAGGGGCTGTTGACCATGCAACCGGCGACGACAACATTCTGGCCGGCCTTGGTGACTCCAGCAAAATCGTCAATGATAAGACGCAACATCGTACCCCGTGTATACATCAGACCCGCCAAACAGTGCCTCCAGTATCCTGAGAGTGAGCCTGTCTTCACTGTGGCTCCGGGAACCGCCTATCAATGGCACATAGTCTGCGATAAATCAGTAGCCGGTGTTCCCAGACTCTCGCATGGTCGCGTTGAAAGCTCTTCAAATCCCACAATTAGCGACGCCCAGTCGATTTGGTCCGCCGAGATATCTTCCACCTCATGGATTGCTTCGATTGGGAATCGAGCTCGAAGATATCCTCCAGACACTGGCCATTCGTGTGCTCGGATCACACTCCCTATATCACGCAGGTCATCAAGGAAGTCGAGCACTCGAAGTTGTAGCTCCGGAGCTAAAGTGTCAAGATAGGCCTTTCCCCCTTTAGGCCTCTGGTCGTCTTCGGTTTCTTCAATCTCTCCCTCACTTGGAGTATCTGGATCAACATCTCCCTGGCTCGAAAGGCAGTTTTGCCAGAGGCACTGAGCGATCAGCTCTCCAATGCATCGGTCCCGTGACGGATCGTTCAACGGCGGCGCATTTTTTGGCAGCCGGCTCGATGCGGGTATAAGATTGGCCCAGGGCCCGGTTTGCAGCCGTGCTCGAGAAATGGCGGATTCTTTCCAACATCTCTCTATGCTTGTGATGAGGGCCGTTAGCTCCGTCTCCGCAACCGGCCCCACGACTCGTTCCAGGAAACTCCAGCAGTACGAATGTACCCGGTAGTAACAGTAGTACGAACGTCGCCGCCAGAAATGGATGCCGTTCCGGCATCGGTAATTGGGGTCGCAGTCGCAGTGATCCTTCACCCGGGGCCCTAAATCTACATACTCTATTCCAAACCGGGCGTCTTCCTTGACTGGCACTTCATACGTCTATCCTGCTGAACCGGCATCTGTAGCGTGCCGATACACCTCTCCGTCTTTAGTCTCGTAGACCCTGCTAACCCTACTTCAGTCGGTAATTCTGGCTGTGGAAATACTGAAAGCATAGTTTTATGTCAGTGATTTTTAACCTAAGAGGACTTGACAGCATCAACTTCCAAAGCTAACATACTGAACCTGCATTGCTCATACCATTTCTGTCGTCGAATGGGGATCCGTAATCAGCTCAAAAAACACTTTATGAATGCCAATGGGCGCTTGGCAGATGATGCAGTATTTTGACATACATAGTGCCTTGGGAATGATAGTCTTGGATAAGGATATGTGCTGGGAGGAACTCCCACAGCTAGTCTGCTAACTGTTCTGAATGTCAAATGTGCCGGCACCGTTTTCTGCTGCAAGCTATTAAAAAGCTGGGTCAAAGGGAGCAAAGCTTAGGTGGTGATTTTCAATATTGGTTTTGTTAGGAATATATGTAAATATGGATCCGGAAAATGAGCGGGAATTTGATGTGTTCCTAAGCATAAAGGGGTTATCTAACAGCAACGTATATGAGGGAACATGATACATCACTGCCCAAGCAACTCTAGAGATCCATGATGTAGAAGAATATCATATTCCATGATGTGACGTTGATCAACTGCGCGAATGGGAAGAAGGCGGAAACAACATTACAATGGGGCAACTGGGGCATCAAAAGGCAAGCACAAGGGGTATCAGGGGAAGGAAACAATCATAGAAATGCAAACCGCGGCGGAAAAAGACTGGCCTGGCGTGAAGATTCCGGAAAGAAAGACCCTGTTTGTTTTGAGCGGAACAGGCAGCAAAAGTCACACGCTGCGGCTGGTGAATCCATGTTGCCGCCGAGCTCGCTGCCTGGAAGCAGGAACACCTATAAAAGGGCCCTCCTTCCCCCCCAAGCTGCAGGTTTTTTTCTTTTTTTTCTTCTTCACTCCCGCCAGGTCACCAGGGCCGCCGGGCTTGAATTTCCTGACCATGCTATTTTAATGAAAGAAAACCATCAAGGGGTATGGATGTAACGCCTTTGCTTTCGAAGACACGCAAGAATCGAGAGAAGAGACCTCGGTGGGGTATTTTTCGTTTTGTGGGTTCCGCAAACGCCATGCTCTTTCCATGCAAAACCCGTGAACCGTCCTGCTTTCAAACCTGCCATGACCCGAAACGACCGATGGATGAACGGCGAGCGCAAAAACAGGAAGAGACGAAGATACCACCCCATGTCAGCAAAAAAAAACCAACAAAAAAAAAGAAAGCAAATCGATGGCTGCTCAGCAACTGAAGCACTTGATAATGCTGGTGCAGCAGAAATAGAAGAGCGGGGGTCAAACTAGTAGCAACTGGAGCTGAACAAAAAGGTAATAAGCCCATTCTCAACGCTGTAGCCGTGGCCACTAACGTTGATGGGCTTATTATAGGGCAAATGTTATTCGATCCGACTTTTAATACTTTTTTTTTCTTCGACAAAGGAAATATTCAAATGAGCGTGGGTTGCGTGGTTCGCCGTGTCAACTGAAGAAGCAAAAGAGTATTTATAAAAGCGAAAAATGACAACGTGCTCGACAAAAGGAAACGAAGTAAATGAGTGGATGTCGGATCGAGTAAGTTCCCCCATTCGTTTCAAGGATCGGTTTCCCGGTTTTGTTCGCTAACTGTCATGGACGGTAGAGCACCACTACTAATTGCTCCTGAGCTGCGCCTTCGGTCCTCTGATTGTCGAGGAGGCAAGTTCAAGAGCTTCGCGCTACCCGCACTGATATGGCGTATATGACCTTTGCCTAGGTCTACACTGGTGGCACGACGAACTTCCATTTCACCTTCAATATCGACTGGGCTATCAGTCTCGGGAGTGTGAGCATCAGAAGCATTTTCAAGGAACTCGGTGAATAATCCTTCATTTGATTTGGCTCTGGTGCCAGGACTAACCAGCCGGGCTCGCTTCCCCACACTGCTATGCCAAGTTGTGGCTTCACCGTCTTGCAGGTTTGTTTTACCTGCTTGGGACACCTCAGCGTCTTCTTCGTCTTCCTCAGGCACCGGAACGGGAACAGGCCCATCGCTGGCAGTACGGTCCTCTGGTGAGTCAGTTGGGTCATCCTTGGATTCAGCACTCCCACGGTACTGGCCGAGTCGCGCTTGAGAGAGGCGCCGAGATGGCTTTCCTGAGAGCCAGCTACCTTCCGAATCAATGGATGCTAGCGACTGAGCTAAAAGCATGCTGTTGGGCCGCGTATCCGGACTGTTGGCTCCCGAGGCGCGAAAAAGGTCGTGAGCTTCTGTTGCTGTCGATTTACCGGTGCAGACGCTTAATCTATTCGAGGTGGGGTATATATCGATCGCGGTAGAAGAACGGATATTTTCAGGAGACACAGGCTCGTCAAAGTGTTCGGTAAACCTGGACTGCATGGACTGGCCGTCAAAACGAAGACTACTTTTCTTGGGTATCATTGATGGCATCCCTGCAGCTTCGGTATGCGAAATCCTTGAAAAGGATTCTCGAGATGGAACCGAGAAGCTTGGACCTTCACTGTTTTGCGTTCGAGGCTCTCTCCTGAACCGAGAACCGCGGCGGAAAAAAGAAGACAGTGAACGGCCAATACGGCCGGCATTTGAAGACAACCGCCTTTCACTCCTCTGGGCTCGTGATACATCCGAATTGGAAGCCATACCCTGCTCGGCGAGTTGGGAAAGGGCATCCGATTTACTGCCGATAACATGGACGAACGATTTCTCATCATCGCCAAGCGAGAGGGTTTCTTGGGCCTGTGCATGTGTGGCGCCGTTCCCGTTCCCACCAAAACTTTCCTTGGACGGGTCTTGAAGCCAAGATCCAGAGCGGTTTGTTGTTTGAGAGAGCTCCATTTGATCAGACTTTTGCTCGGCCAAAGCTGCGCCGGTATCTAGTTTCAAATCGGTGGCATTGTGATTGTATACTGGAGCTCGTTCGGGTTGCTTTGCTGGTTTTTGACCAGCGCTTCGTCTCGCCGCTCTTCGACGACGGTCTCTATCCATGAGTTCTCTGAGCGTTCCCGCGTCCATCTCGTCAGCGAGCTCATTTATCCTATTCTGTCTGTCTAGGTCGCCGGTTCGGATAGCCCTACCCTTGCCCTTGTTGGCGGCGGATCTTGGGGGTTCCGGTGTAGGTACGTATCGCGGGGTTTCCGCGTAACGCAAGACAGGACGAGGAGTTAATGTGTCGAAAACGCTGAGCTTGTACGCTTGGGAATCTGGGGACATGGAGCGCGGCTGGTCGAATTTGGGGTGCGAACCTCCAATGTCGGTGGGATCTTGGTGGACGGTAAGTATTAATTGCTTGCAGAGACATATTTTTAATTGCTTGTTCTCTGGCATAGTCGTTTCGTTTGCGCTTGCTCGATTTGCGGCGCAAAAGGCCGCCGGGTTCGGTGGGAATTCGGTTATTGCGTAGGGTTGGGATATCGTTGATACTTCTGGCCAGGCTATTTTGGGACATGTTGATGGCGGCATGAAGCTTGGTGGAGGAAAAGATTCGAGGAGCGGGAGATCCGACGCGTTCGGAGCGAGGTAGGGGGGAAGCGTGAAAGGACGGGCTCGTGTCGAGATCAGCTGGCGGAATGGGAGATGGGGTCATTATCTGGCGAGGAGGAACACAAGTGTCCTCATTGCCAGAAGCTGCTTGGTCACGGCCGTTTTTTCTTCGTTTGCTGTGTCTCCGGTTCGGTTTTGCGGTGGTGGTGGAGGCTCCGTGGTTGAAAGGGATCGAGGTTTCCGACTTGGTGGTGCGAGAGAGCGAGCCAGCTACCTGGCCGGACGACGAGCTGGAGAGTCCATCACCTTGTTTCCTCGTACGATTCTTCTTTCGATTGAATGGCCAGAGAGCCATGGCGGAGGAGGTGAGAGTGCGTGCCAGTGCAGAGACTTGCACTGGCAGCTCCAGGCGTCAGCGCCAGCTCAGGTTGACAGAGGGTAAAATGACGTGTTTGACAGCTGTGGGGGGACTAGTTACGGATGGAGCCTGGGTGTCAGACAGGAACAAGAGCCAGCCAGACGAGTTCAATGGCGAGGGCAACGGGATGGATGAAGGAGGACATGGAGGAGAGAAGAAGAGCAGACGTTGATGGGCGGCGGCGATGGGCAGATTGTCTTTTGTGTTCCTGTGCCTTTTGGGGCAACAGCAGTTTTTTGCTTTGGCTGGTGGTTCCTTCCCTTTTCCACTGGCTACGCTGGGGCCATGCCGCTTTGGGCTTAGCGCACCCAGCCCCAGGTGGACCCAGTCTCGGAAGGGCGGCTTAGGTAATCGCCCGCTGGACGACGTATATATATATTATACCGAGGAGGGCATCAGAGGCGGGAGCCCTCGCGGACAGGACACGGTGCAGCTCTCCGGTCGATGGGAAAGGGCCAGAGAGACCACTCCGCACTGCTGCAACGGGACCCTGTCGTACCATTTCCTCCCTCTGGTTTTGGTCGATGCGGAGGCACAGGGGTCTCCTGAGCCGACTACATGGCTGGGGGACTTGGACGTTGTACAACAGAGACTATAGTGTGATTTGTAACTGCTACGCACAGAACGAGAATGAGGGCTTGGGGGACACCGGAGCATTGGTGCCTGACTATTTCCCTGCCCAGAGAGGGGAAGTGTCTTGGATCTTGACTGGGGTCATGAAGTGGACGATGTTGGAATTTTCTCTTCTGAGACGCACTCCGTCCAGGGTTGAAAACAGCTCCGTCATGGAGGTCGCTGGCGACGGCATCGTTTAGCTCTGTTGAACAACTTCTCCCGCTCATCCTTTCGGGTACATACATGCATGTCACCATGCGTAGAATGAGGGCATGGACCACCCGAGTAGGTTGACAAATTCTCGCGTGCGCTCCGCTGGTATCGATCTTGGGGTATTCAGCCGCCAAAAAAAAAAGGGGGTGCTGAGTAGACAAGGTGCAACGGGGAAGTTTGATTCAGGGCCAGTTTGCAAGGTGCGGGACAGCAAGGATTGGTAGATTGTTTCAGTCGAGCCGCCCATGCTCTCCGTTGACATCCAGCATGAGTTGATGATATTATTTATTACAATTTACCGCTAGACCTAGGCCGTCGGGAATATATTTTGTTTAGTTATCTGATCAACGACCCGGAGTTTTGTGGCGTGAGTTCCTCGGATGGGCCCTTGTTTTTGGAGCAGAGGGATTTACTTTTTTCTTTTTTTAAAATTTAAAATTATTTCTTTCAATTCATCTGCTGCTGTGGAAAATACATGAAGCTCATTCCAAACAATGAAAAAATATTTACAGCGCATTAACAAATAAAGGAAGAGGGAAAAAAGAAGAAAAAGGAAAACCCCAGACGTGCTGATCAACAAAACATACTCGCCAACCGATGTCGGACCTTTTGTTTAAAGGTCAACGGCTCCTTGGAATCCCACGGCTCAAGATCACTCTCCAAGCGGCCCGTATCCAGATCGACCTCCCAGAGCTTCACTAACCTCGTCCGGAAAACGGCCTTGTGCCCAATGAACAGCACCACAAACAGAATGAGGCTGATATACGCGATGAAGAAATTAGTTGTGCTCCACGGAATAAACGCCGTGAAACCCTGCGTGATGATGATCAGCACGTTGAAAAAGAGCCCGTAGTAAGCTAGATACGGCTCAAGCGGAGCTTTGTAGGGCAGTTCGTCGCGGTTGATGTTGCGAGCGCGGAGGGCCCGCATGAATCGGATGTGGCAGCCGTTGATGCACGACCAGGAGATGAAGCCGGCGATGCTGCTGATGTTGGTGAACCATTGGAAGACGACGGAGCCGTTATTGGAGAGGTTGAGGAAGCCGAGCAGGCCAAAGGCGGAGGTAAAGAGGACGCTGGGGATGGGGACACCTTTGGCGGTGGTGCGCATGAAGAAGCGCGGGGCGCAGCCGACTTGCGCGAGACCAACGACGATTCTGCTGCCGGAGTAGACGTTGGAGTTTGCGGCGGACAGGACGACGGTGAGTAAGACGCCGTTGATGAGGCCGGGGAGGGTCTTGACGCCCGCGAGTTTAACGGCGATGACGAACGGGGAGGCGGAGGCGTCGGAGGCATCGGAGAGCAGGTCTTTGTTGGTGTAGGGGATGAGGATGCCGATGAAGAAGACGGTGAGAACAAAGAGGAATAGAATGCGGTAAAAGGTCTTCTTGATCGCGGCGGGGACGGATTTGCGAGGGTTCATGGTCTCGCCAACTGCGACGCCGACCAATTCGGTTCCTTGATATGAGAACCCGGCTTGGATGAGGACGGCCCAGAATCCGATGAATTTTCCGAGTGCAACTCGGTCCTCGCCGATCACGTCAAGGAGATATGGGGCGAACGCGCCTGGGTCTTTCCAGTAGGTGAACCCGAGATAACCCTGTTTACCCACTCCCGCGTTCATGCAGATGCCAAAGAGACTCTGGAATGCGGATGCTCAGTGAGCCCATCTGGAAGGAGCAAAACCAGTAATTCATATTACGCATAAGAAGCTAACGTGCCAAACGAATTGATAGCCAATGATAGAAAGACCCGAAATGATGTCGATGTAAGATGGCCATGTCGCTTTCAGACTTCCCTGTACTGGATGATTAGGCCTGGTAGCCGTCAGCTGGAGTGCACACGTGATAGCCCATGAGAACCCAATATATCCCATCCCCATGGCAAAGCCGAGACTAGGGTCGACGAAGCGGGTGCCATAGGATGTGAAGGGCGCGGATATCGGGATAAAGGTGGCCATCTGCCGGAGGGAGACAACGACTGAGACGTCAATAGTAGCAACGAATGCGTATGCGATCAGGGCACCGGCAGGCCCCGGTTTTAAGGATCGCACCGCCGCTTCCGATGAAGAGGCCCGTTCCAATCGTCCCACCTACCAGGTAAATAAAATCCGCACGGATCGGGATCAATTGGCTCGAGCAATCCGGAGATGCAACGAAAAATCAATGAGTCCGGAGGCAGGAGCCCTACCGATAGCAATCATTTGCAGGTGCCGACTCTTGAGCTTCCGCTTGAGCTCGGGCAAGTCGGCACCCCTGTGCTGTTCGGCATCATATATATCAGCACTCTTCAGCTGGTCGTCTGTGATCTTTTCATCCAGCACCGGCGACGACATGAGCTCGTCTTCCTTGGCCATGACGGATCGATTGTTGCCAGAGGCCCAGCCAATTCGGATTGCCACGAAGGATAGGAGAGCGTATGTGAGAATGGGTGAGGATCCTTCGCCCACCGGGTGCAGGCGGAAGTTTGCTGCTTTGGCCGACTCGAATCCGTGAGTGCTGTGCTGCCGACGAAACCAAGCAGACTCCCGTCTCGAGCGGAATTCAAGGCTGAATAACAATCACAGCTTCAATGGCAGCAACGACGACAGTGTTATTTTTTGCGGGCGACGACTTGTATCATTGAGGGTCGTGTGGCGAGTGGGTCGACCCAATCCAGTCCACACGAAATTTCCGCCCTGCCCGCCAGCACAGGGAAGATGAGAGATGATAAGGGCAAAGTCAATCGAATCCGCAGGGCCCGTTGACCATAGTTGTAAACTGGGCACAGAACTGCGGCTGTCCGGGGCGCTTTAAATCTCTTGCGGTCGACCCGGACGAAGTGCGCGATCGGTGGCAAATCCGGGAGCAACCCATTCGCAAAATCCGGTCTTGACGGCACGATCGATCAGCAAGAGTCCCTTGACATGATTGATGGTGGTTGGATGAGGTACATCCACGCCCTTCGTCCGTTAGAGCTTCCTCCATCCTCACGGCGATTGCGGGTGACACATTCTAGAATACGGCAGGTCTCCCCTCCATCTCCACTGCCCTCGTTTGCGATGGAGCCTCGAGGGTTAAACAGTAGTAATGGATTCATCGCATACCGGCTAAATCGTCAGCAATGGACTGGACAGTTTGGCCGGCCTGGCATGCGCCCTCTGGAGACTTGCGGGGTACAAGAGCTACTCGAATGGTGTCGAGAATACATCTGGTTCGGAGCCAAGGCATGAGAGCGGGTGTTTCTCATCAGTCCCAATCGCCAGATACTGTAGTTATCCGCTCTGGATGGAAGTAACTTGGAGCGATGTTGTCCTGTGTGCTCTGCTAGTTAAGCATTTTATCCAAGCTATTTAGTCTGCTCTCGGCGTTTCGATGCTGGCAAGAAACGCTTCGGGATGGACGGAGTGAGTCTCACGATTTCGCCGGCGGAGGGCCTAAGCCAACCTGTTGATAAAATAAAGCAGCGGATCACTCCGGAAGTACGCATGTCTTGTCCAGCTTTGCGCAATTGTAAAAATCACGATTTCTAACGACGATTCTTTTCAATCATCTCTAGGACAAAAAAAGCAAAAAAGAAGAGCTCGGTGGCTGCTGTGTTGAACCCGGTGCGAATTGAACGCACAACCTTCAGATCTGGAGTCTGCTGCGCTACCATTGCGCCACGGGTCCCACTTTGGTGATATGTGCATTCAACATTATGCCTCAAGTTAAGTAACATTTTAAATATGGCCGCTACAACCCCTCTTTGCTCTCATCCGCCTTGCTCTCTTCCCATTGCCTTCTCAAGATCATCGATTTCTTAACTGGCATCGCTGGAGCATCTCAGTGCCTGCAGGGAATCAAGGGGCTTGGCAACACCCCGCCGCCATCACTGGTAATCGGAATCCGCGGTTCATGCACTCTCGTAGGCAACTTCAAAGCCCCCCTCAGCTCCAGCATGTCTAGATACACCCCCTTTTCATAATGCATACTCCAGGTGCCTAGTTTGATCTAAAAGCCCTATCACTCTGTACTTGCCCCTCGAAACCCTCCACTCAGCATGTCGAGCATCGTCGATCCCGCAACGGGACGGCCCCTCCCCGCCGACGCCATCCAGCGCGTCCTCTACATCTGCCATCCCGTCCACGTCTACGCAATCCCTCCCCTGATGTCCATGAAAGGCTACACCGCCGCGAACTGGACCGTGCCCGATCCCCGAAACGACGGCAAAACCAAAGAAATCTTCACCGCACGCCTCCGCATTCTCGAAACCGCCATTCCCGTTCCCGCCAATCCGCGTACCCGGCCCGGAAGACCGGCGGAGGAGACGCAGGAGCAAGTCAAGACGGATATATTACTGGAGGATTCGAGCACGGGAGATCTGTTTGCTGCTGCGCCGTACACGGATGCCGGTGTTGTGGAGCATGCGATTGACTCGTCGCGGTTTTTCGCCGTGAGGGTTTGTTGGGCCGGATGGGAGGAAGGCCATGTTGGGGATTGGCTTTGAAGACCGGAGTGAAGCGTTTGATTTTGGCGTGGCGTTGCAGGAGGCGAGAAAGGTACTGGGGCTTGAGAAGGCGGGCGGAGAAGTTGGCGCGGATGCAAAGCGGGCGCCGATGTCGAGTTCTCAAGCCGGAGCGGGGCGGCGGCCAGGAATGGCTCCTGCGAGAGGCAGGGTGGGAGCACCTCCCGGAATACGGCAGCAGGGACAGCAGCAGCAAAGTCAAGGATTGCAGCAGAAACCTGCCGATACCAGGCCGAAGGACTACAGCTTGAAGCCCGGGCAAACAATCACCGTTAACATTGGCGGTCGACAAAGAGCTCCCAACCCGCAGGCTACTGATGCTTCCAGTCAGGAGAATCAAAAGGCTCTGTTTTCTATCCCTCCTCCCCCGGGAGCGGCGTCCTCTGCAGACGGTGGCGCCTCAGAACATGACTCCCCTCAAAATACATTCTTCCTTCCTCCCCCTCCAAGTACGAGAGATACGCGAACAGATCGGCGGAGAAGGGCCCCCTCAGCCTTAGAATCCAAGACGACAGAGGAAGCAAAACAGAAACTCGACTCTGCGGGGTTTGAGGATGATGACTTTGGGGACTTTCAATGATTTGTGTATCAGCTGGGCGTCTTCTCGATTGGTACTATATGTAATTTTGAAAGCGGTTAGGATGATGGACTGCTGGTGATGTTCTGAAATGTTACATTACATGAGAGGATTGATGATATTGACATGTATACCTTTATGACAGAGCTAGGCGTGCTGGCTGGTGCTTGTCTAACCCGCGTCTTGATACCCCCAAGCAGTAGGCGAAGGTGACCCTGAGAAGATATGTACACCTTCCTTTGATACCTCCTTTTTGGAATTTGTAACTTTACAACAAGGTGACAACTCCCAAAATGATTCCATATAACGGTACATTTTTATCGCAACCTAGAATATGGGATTCGTTGAAAGTGATCATCATTCATTTTATTCTTAATCTCATCAAATTAAATCTTGATCAGCTTTCGCTGACGCGCTGGGGTAAGACATCTCTTCTGTATTACGTGTATCAGATTCGGAGGCGTGAGTCTACAGCTCGCGCTGCGCAACTCAGTATCTGCACGGCTTTCTGACTCTCTCTCGCTGCTATATCTCATGTTAATCACGATGCGCTGACTGATTGGTAAATCATACTGGCCCAGTGGGTATACCCTGACAAACTTGTGGCTTTCAGCAACAACGTAGAACGGCTTGCCGATCGATTTGGCCAATAGTCCCATCTGATACGTGCCCAGCCGGGAGATTATACCTCCGTTTTCCACCACGCCTTCGGCGCCCACAATCACCATGTCCACCATGTCCATACTGTAAGCCACCGCGGACTCTGGAATCGTCGCCACGGGTACGCCTTTTGACTTGAGGGCCAAAACAATATCCATGCCTTCCGTGTCGGGCTCGACGTGATCGTTCCCGTTATTGACCACATAGATCACACGGAATCGCACGGGAGAAGAGCTAAATTCATGACCTTCGGCGGCGACCTTTTTCAAAAGTGCACCGACCACTCGCGAGCCGCCGTTGGTCAATATGGTACTTCCATCGCGCACAAATCCGCTTCCAAACGCAGCAATTTTGTCCCTACTCTCCTTTGCACGTTTGATGAACAGCCGGCCGTTGGATAATAGATGGGCTCGTATAGCGTTAAAGTCTCCTGCAGGTCCAAGTTTACCGGGTCTCTGCAGTGTACTGATTATATATCGCTGGAAAAGGTCTGTCCCCGCCGAGAGACCAATGGGATTCGGAATAGCTCGTTTTAGTCGTTCGGTGTGCGTCTTTAAGAGGTCGAGGGTCTCGGAGATCGTCGATGAGGGAGAGTGCGTTAGGAGTAGGACGAGAGCCTCTATCGCAGCGATTGGCATTGTGAGATCGGGATCTGAACTGAGCAACTCGTTGTAGGTGGAGACGATACTAAATGGGAGATGGGTTAGCAGCGGCGCGGAGGAGCTGAATTAGAGGGGCCGGGAAAAGTTGCACACTCAAATGGCTTTGAGCCTCCATCAGCGGGCTCTGCTTCGTTCCCCATCATGAGGCACGGACGTTTATGATGTGGGTTGCGCTGAAAGGAAGTATGGTCACTATGGTGGGGTTGGGCCGGAATGAAGATGGTTTGTTCAGTAAAAGTACCGCACTTATTGAGCCTTTGGAGTTGGGCCTGAAAGGATAAGGGAGATTTATTCAGAATTTCAGAGGAATGTAAATCTGGAGACTCCGTGATATAATTTGAATGGTTATTCCTGTGTCGAACTGGGAGTCACTCACTCCCGCCTGCTTAGTCATGGCTAACCTTCAGATAAGCTCTCTCTGATAGTCTGCATAGTTTGGAGGGACATGAAATCCTACTGATCGAAAGGCTTCAAATACCCATACCTTCATATCCTACGTAACTACGTTTGATCTAGTAGTAACCAGGTGGTGCCATCACTCTCACTCCATGACACTGTCATTCATGAGAATCCCAAGCTCCATGTTTGCACTGTTTGCCTCCAGGATGGCCAATGGCACTAGTCCGAACCTGGCTTAAAGCGTCTTGCCGGATTGTAAACAAACCAAACAGAGGGGGGTTTGCGCAGGCACAGCGCCAATCCACCGACTGTCGACTCTGTGCTTATCTGGTCAAATGGCTTACAGTTCCCGAGCTAGTCAGCAATTCCATCATGGCAATCAGCAGCAGCATAACCGAAACCGGAAGCCAAAGGAAGACGACACCGATGCCTTCCTCCGCCTTGTAGGTTCCCAGCTTCACGGCCAGCCCGCCGAACCAGGCTAACACTTGCTTCCAGCCGGACAAGGTCATTGCAGGATGTATCAACGATATCGGGATTCCTTTTACGGTAGCGGACTTGCTGAAGCCGAACCCGCAGCAAATACAGATCATTTTTGAATGGTTCGCGGAGCTCTTCATGAACACAACCCGGGAAACCGTGGAGCCTGCAATGCGCGCAGCGGCGGAAGATATATGTGGCGACCATGCTGGAATCATTCCCCATGATGCCCGCAATCTCATGGGCTTCTTTGTTTCCTTGCGCAAGCTCATGATTCAGGTATGGCAACGGCATTGAGCTCTCGCTGCCACCAATCGTCCGCTCAACTGACCGTTTTGAGGAATAGTGCGGAGTGCACGATTTTACTTTCACCGACCTCACCAAGCCTACTTATGATCGGGTTGCCAAGATATTTTCGTATATGATCAATTTTGTCCGATTTCGAGAGTCACAGACGGTGGTAATCGACGAGCATTTTAATAAATCCGAAAATACCAAATCCCGCATCGAAGCCCTATACGCCGAGAATCAGGAGATGGAGCAGCGTCTTGAAGAAATGCAGAATCAGCAGAAAGAAATGGAAGGGGTGGTTAGGGAGAAAGTCAGGCGGAACGATGAATTAAAAGCAAGATTGTTTGAGCTTCGACGGGACCAGGAACGTGTTGCGGAGACGTTTGAGAGAGTGAAAGGGGAAAAATTAAAAGCCCAGGGCTTGCTGGAGGAGAAGACGGAGAAATTGCTCAAAACTCGTCAAGAAAGCGAGAAGCTACGTCCTTATGTGTCACAAAGCCCTGCAATCCTTCAAGCATCCCTAACGGAACTATCGGAAAGTCTGACTCGGGACAAAATTCAGATCGATAATATGGAGAGGAGGATGCGGGCATTGCAAATGTCAATGGATACTTTTGGCATCATAAGCAATGATGTTCAAAGCTGTATCAAGGTTCTAGAGGATATTTCAGCGGAACTGCAGAAGGAGGAAGAGGAAGACGCAAGGGCGATCCGAAACAAGGACGCTTTGGCCGAGAGGGGAAACACAGTGAGAGAAGTTGCGCAAACAGAAAAACTACTTCAGAGGCAACTGGCCCGCTGGCATGAACGGACAGAAGCATTGAGAAAAAACGCCCGGGAAAAGGCCGAACAGGCCCAAATCAGAATGGAAGAATTGCATAACATCCAGAAGCAGCTTCGAGAGGAGCGAGCTGATAAACAGCGCGATATGGAGCGGAGGAAGATTCGAATTGAGCAATCAGAAAAGAAGGTATTCATTCGCGCCCCATGCATCTTGAGGACTTGATACTGATTTTTGCTATCTGCAGATGGTTGACCTCAAGGAGAATATCGAAAATGAGATCCATCGGGCACATGACGAGTACCTAAAGATGGAAGCGCATATTAAGCTCTATATTACGGAGATGGAAAAGTGTCTGTGACAATCAAATGTAGGAATGGGCCTTGGCGGAGTTCGGTTAGATTTTACTCTTTGAAGATACCCTATTGCTATCTGATGTTATTGCGGGGGAGTATTGGACAACACATGGAATGCCTGGGTATTTAGCATTTTATCGTACTTCAGTTGATATACTCAATATCCTATCCCTCTCTTTCAGTTGGATGATCAAAACAGAACCATCTCATTGCTACCCTTTTAATCTGAACGGTCTGAGCGGCCTGCTGTTCCTCTGGCGGTTTTGTCGAATTCAACAAGGGAACAACCGCATTCCACAAACTACTCGAAGCCGCAGGATCTTCCGCAGTATCACTATTACTCAATTCCCGACATTCACACAAGACCAGGCCCATCGCCATCCTTGCAGCAACTTCAACAGCAAGGCTTAGACTCCTCGAGATCCCTTGGGCAGAGAATTCGGAAGTGTGGACATGCAGAGCGATAAGGTTGATTATAGCGAGTAGCGGCCATCCCCGTTGGGAATCATTCTCTCCCGGCCTGGGCCATTTCCCCGACGTACCCAGGTAGGCGCGGAGGTGTTCGAGGCTGGGGCAAAACACCAAGGTCACTCGCTGCGACTTGTCAATGGCGTCGATCGTGTCAGAGAGAAGGCGAGTTGCCACGTTGTTTTGCTGAGGATAGCCCTCGGCGTCCTGGCGTTGGGACTGAAGCTGTATCGAGGACGAAAGTTGTTGTATGAACTTTGCTTTGGGCCAGCACACGATCACGGTGGCCTTGGAGAAGGTGCCGTGGAGAATGGAATCTAGAAAGTCCGTCACGAGGTCGAAGGACTGGACTGTTGGACGAGGAGGAGAATTCATGAAAGATGAATGGGGTTGGTGAGTTTGTCGTTGCAAGTCCGTCCAAACAACTCGGAGCGAGCGAGTGAATTGAACTACCTCATTCTCTAAGATTCCATTTCAGTGGCTTGCTGCCTGGTGAGATTATTAGATAGTATTTACTAAATGTAGTCAACTTACGGAGTACATCGTCAACGTTTCAAACGAAAACCGCCCCGGACTGAAGCATTCATTAGTTAACTTAATCAGCCAGCACCGTTGAATCTTGGCAGATTCGAAGGCCGCCAAACCAACCTGATCCTCACATCTCGCCGACCCCCGCAATCACCAGAGAAGCACCCCGGCGTGCAGCCAGGGTTAGCGGCGATGGAGACCGTATCACGGATATCTTCGATGATCGAAACTGGTGCATAAATCTCCCTCTCTTTGAACTTGCCTGGTTTTGACTAATCGGTACCGTGCCAGCCCGCGAACTCACTCTCGAGGCCGCCCACTCAGCTAGCAGCGCCAAATCCCAGAGACCAGGCTATGCTCCTCGAAATGCCTCTGCGTCACAAATCAAGAAGCTCCTTGATAGTAGGAATGATCGCGAAATCCTTGATGGGCTGCGGAAAGTTATTTCGGTAATCACCCTCTCTCTGGTCGAGAATCATAGGTCGGCCCGTTTGAGACTGATATTGACACATCCCAGATGATGTACAGAGCCGAACCATGTCTACCCTTCTTCTCTTCCATCGTTAAAAATGTTGCGAGCCCGAATGTCGAAATCAAGAAGCTCGTCTACATATATCTGTTGCAGTACGCCGAGGAGGAACCTGACCTCGCGCTTCTCTCTATCAATGCAATTCAAAAATCCCTGACGGATCAGAACCCTCAAGTACGTGCGCTGGCTCTACGAACAATGTCAGGCATTAGAGTCCCAGTGATAAGCCAGATCGTTTCTCTGGCGATTAAACGTGGATGCGGCGATATGAGCCCGCACGTCCGAAAAGCTGCAGCACTAGCCATTCCGAAATGTTACCGCTTGGACCCTAGCACACTACCCCAACTTACTGATTATCTTTCGATATTGCTGGGCGATAGCCAATATTTTGTGGTTGGACCAGCTGTGGCTGCGTTCATGGAGGTCTGCCCGGAGCGGATAGATATGATACATAAGTATTATCGCAGCATTGTGAGGAAATTAGTCGACATGGACGAATGGGGACAACTTGCGACCTTACGACTTATGACGGTATATGCAAGAAAGTGCTTCCCACGGAGGACGGAAAAGGTCAAGAAGTCTACTCTAAAGGGGTTCTATGATAACGAAAATGATACAGAGGCTGAGGCAGGGGAGGTCGGAGAAGAAGAAATCCAAGTTGTGGATCCAGACCTTGATCTTTTTCTAAAATCATGCAAGCCGCTACTCCAAAGTCGGAATTCTGCGGTCATCATCGATGTAGTGCGCTGTTTCCGATATTTAGGAACAATCGAGCAGTTGGAATCTACTGTGGGACCATTAGTCGCATTACTTCGCTGCCCCCCGGATATCGAATATATTGCTTTATACAACATTATTGCCGTCGCATTGCTTATTCCCAAAGCGTTTACTAAATACGTCTCTCATTTCTTAATTCGATCAACGGATCAGCCCCAGATATGGATACTGAAGTTGGAAATTCTCACTATACTTTTTCCTCAATGCGGAATGCATGTGAAAGGGATTATTCTCAGCGAATTGGAGCATTTTTCAAATGGATTCAACACAGACCTAGTTCGGGAAAGCGTTCGAGCCATCGGGAGGTGTGCTGAAAGTGACACCAGCGCCTCCAAAAAATGCTTACACATTCTTCTAAGGCAGCTCTCGAGCGTTGATGAAAATTTAGTGTCAGAGGCATTGACAGTGATACGACACCTTATTCAGCAAGAGCCTGCTTCGCACGAAAACACCGTTGTGATGCTGGCGAAAAGGCTTGACACAATAATAGGCCCAGAAGCGAGGGCAACTATAATATGGCTCGTGGGAGAATTTGCAGGATCAGACGTTGGGCGCAATATAGCCCCTGACATCTTAAGAGTTTTGGCCAAAGGGTTCGCGGATGAATCTGAAATGGCAAAACAGCAGATCCTGCTCTTGGGAGCTAAGGTTTACCTTCACCATCTCTTGCACAAGGCCAATTCTCCCGAAGCGATGCAGACACCTGAAGAGAATCAGCATGATGGCAATGATGCCAATGGTAGTGAAGAACACCCACCCCAAGAAGATGCAATCACAATCCTTTGGCGTTATATCCTTCTCTTGGTGCGTTACGATACCTCCTATGACCTTCGAGATCGAGCACGACTCTACAAAGCACTTTTAGAGAACCCTTCGTCAACAGAACTCGCCTGCTTGCTCCTCCTTGCCCCTAAACCGGTTCCGCACACTCCGTCACCCTCTCAATCCAGGAGAGATTTTGTTCTAGGCTCAGCTACCCTCGTCATCGGCCCCAATGCTGGTGTTCACGGCTTGGGCGGATACGAAGGTTTGCCAGACCAGGTGGAGCTGGGCGCAGAACCGGACCCCAGACTCAGAGACGAGGAAAGCAAGGGAGGGCTTAGCGAGCGAGGCTATGTCACGGCTGGTGAAATCTTGGATAGGGCGTTGCAGGAGCATGGTAACGGTGTGGCGACTGGAGATAAACAGAACGCCGCTGCGGTTGCCGGTCGAAGCAAGAACCTTACGCTGGACGACTGGCTGGCTGAGAGTGCGGAAGAGGAGGGAGATGACTCAGAAGAGAGTACGGAAGAAGAGTCGTCCGAAGAGGAAGGAACTACTGACGAAGGCTCGGATGAAGACGAAGACGAAGATGAGGAAGATGATGAAGGTGAAGAGGATACGAGTGATGGGGGAGAGGAGGCTAGCGACGATGGAGAATTCCAGGCCGGAGGTCGAGACGAGCAAACGAGGTTGATGGCGTCAATAAGCCACTAAGATCTAGAACGTTCAGGGGATGAAGGCCCGCACTAACGAACAATGACAACATGAACAAATACTTTAGCTCAATACCTTTTGTGAACATCGAGTGCGTAATCGACTCGCTGCGTATCCCATTGCCAGCTGCATACAGCCAGCCCAATTTCACGACTCTCTCTCGGGAGGCCCCTTCCCTTTTGCCACAGAGAGAGCGGACGCAATATGGTTCATCGCAGAGAAGCCGCAAGGCTCACTTAGGAGAACATTGGAAACGGATGGACATTGAAACACGACCCAGAGGTCCTGCCCATTGAAGCCCGACTCTCGACGTCCACAATCGAGGCCGGCAAGGTTTCGGCATCCCGTGGAGGGAGCCCGATTGGGTTAGTACCTCTCATCTCTAGCCGCAAATTGGACCAATCAGCGCTAGGCGATAGACGCGCTAGTTATCGGATTGCGAAGATATCATTGGCAGCGCTTATTACCAACCGGACTTAGGGCGAGATTTGGGTTCGGGTTGAAAGCTTGTTTTCGGCCTGTTTACTTTGGGGATATAGTTCTGCGCTCTCACGGTGCTTGCCTTGCGCTGGTCCCAAGATATAATGACAGTGCCTACCGTCTTTTCATGGACGGGCGCTCCGCTCTTTGGAAAGAGGCGAGTCAAAGAACTCTAACCCCCAAAGGACAAATACCCCCCTTTTCCCTTGCGTCAACGGTTTTTAGCCAACTTTTTCGCAACACCCCAGTCGAAGATACGCAGCTGCATCTTGCTCCCATCAGCATCTATTACTGAACATCTTTACTTCACCAATACTACCTTTCTGATTTTCCAAGCTGTTTTCCTTCTGAAGATGACATCGGCCAGTTCTTCTCGATCCCGTGGCGTCAATAGTGACCAGGCGGAGTTGCAGGGTATCGGCTCGCGAGATGGAGTTATGTACGAACTGAAGGTCTCACAGCAGCCCATCCGAGGACGAATGTGCGGATTCAGTGAAAAGGTCAGCTTCAAGTGATACGTCCCCCAGCATCCAAAACATTTATTAACGGATTTCTATTCTAGGACCGTAGAACGATTACTCCACCACCATGCGTTTCCCTGACCGTTTGGGCAGCTGATACATTTGACAAGATTAATACCGAGTAGGTACCATCCTCTCATTCACCGTATCACTAGATAGCTAACAATACCGTACAGCACTATTGATACTTGTTTCCTGGTTGCCACTGGTGAACTTTATGATATCCATGAAGTTCGAAATCTCAACATGCTTTCCCATCATGCGTGTTGCACATCGATCTCGAATGTGAAGAAAGATTCATTCAGTTCTGAGGTGGTACCGCAGCGCCCCGGTCCTTCAACGTCGCCTCCCCAGCCCGATCGCCCCGCGGACTATCAGGGTACTCCTGTACCTCCTCCGTTGGCTGGGGATCAGTGTTATCCCATGATGGCGGTTCCTTACCTTCAGCCTATGGGATATACTGGGAACTTGCAGAGCACCCCCTCATCCTCTACTCTGCCAAATGTGGTTGCGACCAATAACTTGGTTGGCAACACTTCTTCTACCGCTGCCAAGCTTAGAGACTTGACAGGCGAACGGGGAATTTGGTTTATTTTTAACGATTTGAGTGTTCGCGCACCGGGCGAATACCGGTGAGTGCCAGCCCTATATCTTGTTTTTTTCATCTACCTTATACTAACGCGCTTGGGTAGATTGAAAATTTCTATCATGGATTTGGGCAAAGCCTTGGCTCTAGGGGCTGCGCCAGAGCCCGGTACGCAGGATGAATCGTCTCCCGTCATCGCAAGTATATTCACGGATGTGTTCCGTGTCTATTCGGCAAAGACCTTCCCGGGAATGATCAATACCGAGCTCAGCAAGTGCTTTGTGGACCAGGGTGTAAGGATCCCGGTCAACTACAAGAATACCGCCCAACACGCATAGAATACCGAGGCCCTATTCATTTGTACAGTTTATATTCTCTGCGTCCTTGGCGATATTCTTGTAGCGGACCGAGATCCTTTCTCTCTGGTCCACAAAGCACTTGCGTAAGTCATTGAATCATGCCCAATTGGTTCGTTCGGCATGGGTGGTTGGGATTTGATTTCACCGTCTCTTTCACTGTCCCCTTCACCATCTCTGTATTTTCCATTTGTATTTGATTTACATCACTGCTTCTCCAGCTCCTGCTTGTTTCTTTTGTGATGCCATGTCGATTAGAGAGGAATGTCAATAGATTGGCTATGGCAAGATATGTTTGGAATTCAATTTCACTCTGTTCGTGTATTTTTATTTGTATTTGATTTACATCACAGCTGCTACAGCTGCTACTGCTCCTGCTTGTGATGCTATCTCGACCAGAGAGGAAATAATATTAATGTGTCCACTGATGAAATAAAAAAAAACGAGTGTCTGATCTAGTAGAAGAAAGCCGAAATCCGCTACTCAGCGGCTGTATCCATAGTACCTGCTGATAACTGAGCCATAACGTAGAGTTGCCGGGGGACCCGAGTTCGAGTAGGTTCAAGAAAGCTTTGGAATGTTTCGTAGCTTCTCGGAGGATCGAAGTTCGAGTTTAGATGCAGCAGCGCTGGCCCCATCGGCAGGGTTCAGGAGTGTCGTAAAAGACAGGTCGGAAGCCGGCAGGGCATGGGACTCTGTTGTTGGCGACACATCGGGGGCCTCTGTTACCAGCTTGATCCCGGCATGAAATAGCCATGGTGTCTAAATTTCATGAGTTTAGAAGACCCGATGCATATCTCGACGCCACTGGATGAGACTAACCGCTGACAGCGATGCTGCATTAAGAGGCATTAGCATGAAGTTGAAATATATCAGGGTGAAGGGTGAAGCGGCATACCCAAGGAAGGCAATGAAGAAAGTAGTGAAGAACTTCATTTTGATATCGGGAGGCGGGAGAATCAGTCTTTTGCGCGGAAGATGGGGTTTGGGGATTGTATAAGCTGGTCTTGATTTTGAATCGTAAATAATCAATATTTGTTGATGGAAAGCGAACAGAACTTGTCCCAGGGGGGCTTTGGGGTATTTATATTTCAACAGAGATCACCCAGGCATCTCAAGGCTCCCATATCCAAAGTCTGATCATGATAGCAATGGATAAGGGACCTCAGAGCTCCCATTGTCATCATAGTACCTTGTGGGATAGCCGCAGTGATCGGCAGCTGGTCAACTTTCAAATGCCTCCCGAAGATCACCCCAAGGCTTCGGCCTGCTGTGCAACATTTCTGTGGGGAAAAACGAGTGCTTCGACCCGCTATCAGTGGCGCAAAAATGGGTTGACGATTGGAGTCCCCGTAGCCATATTACAGAAAAATGCCCGCATTAGGAAAAGAACCTCACTCATGGACGAATTACTAGCAAGATGAGCCTCAAATCACTCCAGCTCAGCGCACACGGCATGTACATACAGACCTCGCATCCAATCGTTTGCCATTCAACTTGCTGTCCGGGAGGTTTCCCTGTTGACGCGGCCACTCTTAATGGACTCTTCTCCCGGAATACGATCTCAACTTCAGGTAGCCATGCAAAGAGGACTGAAACATTCACATTGGTGAACATGCATCCAGTCAATCAATTTGGCTCTGACGCCAATTTCAAAGCTTCAATTTGGGGTGAGCTGGCCCTATCTTATTGTGAGTAGAAGGTTCATATTAGGAAATATACCTCAAACAGGGCCTTGTCCAACAGCAGCTTGTTTGTGGGCGTCGATATGTGTTGTCTTTTTCCCAGACCTCCTTTATTTAGCAACTGCGGCTCGAATATTCAGCCTGGGCTTAAATCATTGTCGCGATAAGCTTGTTCTTCTGCGGACTCGCAATCCCGCTCCCATACCATCAGGTCACCCTTGATACTATGAGAGTTGGAGTGATGGCATTTCCATCCTCGCCGCAATACGAAGATCATCACAGTGTCTAGCCAGTTCCGGCGGAAATAGGCTTGCACAGAACTGCTTTTCTGGTCGAGGCTCCTTTGAGCGAATGCAAAGGTGTTCACAGACAGCATGGGAACGGGATCTCCCTGCTTCCTAGCTCTCTAATGCTGATTTCACATCTGACATGGAGTATGGAGGAGAAACTTGAGCTGAAAGGGGGTTCCATGGGTATTTTGTTCACTGCTTCTCGCGCTTATGTAGGTCAAGAAGAGGGGTGGACAAACAACTCAGTTGGATCAGCGGTATCTTTGTGATTTCCAACGGGCATTGTATGTACATACAATTGCTATTGGTAACATCCTACCGCTATATAACAAATGAGAGAGAAGGGTCACAATCACTGGTTTTCGGTAGAGACAAAGTGCCGACAATGCAAGACGCTGCTGTCGAGGAAGCTATTAATAGCTACACCAGCCCAGAAACGCCTTGGTCGGACTTACTATCATCCGATCATCCTTGCATAACCGCGAGGTTGCACTGCAGCGAGCTGATAAGACACTGATTATAGGAATAGTTCGATATATTTAGATTATTTTAAGGTAGGTTTGGGCTGCTCATCAGTGGGACAATGATCAAGGTAATGGTTAGTGTGAAGATTTCCATGCGCAAACCGCCGGTACATCACCACTTCGAGTGACTGAGATAGAATAAGGTTGATCATCATTGACGGACGGCAATCCAGAACTGCGCCCAGTACGCGTTTTTCGACAATGCGCGTGCATTAAACCCATACGGGGCTTCCTTCTGACGGACAGTTCTTCCTGGAAGGGTCAGATTTCCGTAATCCGGGTCTGTATCTAAGAATTCGAAGCCGATAGCTTGACAGATGTCGAGTATTTCGTCTAGAGATAGTTGAAGGAAAGGAGCAGAGCCATAGAGAAGTGGACCTAAATTGATCCACATTCCCCCTTAAAAATGCACAGTCGTTAGCGGCTCATTGTGCATAATTGGCAAAGGCTAACGTGCACTCATACCTGGTTTAAGGAGACGGTGAATCGTCTCGATATATGTTAGTAGATTGCGGGCCGTATCAATGAAGAATAGAGTGACTATGACGTCGAAGCGGCCGCTGTCGCTGTCTTGATTGAAAACCGTGGTAAAGTCGCCTTCAACGAGGAGGACAGAAGAAGGATCAACAAGCACCTCGGGGAAAGTGATTGATCGATGCAGCTCCGCGTTACTCGGCTGGTGAGACCACCAGTCAACATACGGGTGGATTGTTGTGGAGTTTGCCAGCGCGACTTTGGGGGAGGTTAAATAACGGTAGGCGAGATTCATAAACGATGACCATTCGTTGGCAGTCACTTCGAACCCTACAAGTAACAGTTAATATGTCGTCGTCAAGTTCAAGGTTTCGATAGGAGAAGTTGCCTTTTAAATCCGCGATGTCGTGCGCCAGGCGTCCAACACCCGAACCAGGCACAAGGACTTGAACAGGATCGCGGCTATCCCTGTTCGGATAATGTTTCTGAAGAGACTCAAGAATCTGGGGAAAGGTGTTCATCCGCTCATGTCCGCCTTCTGGTGCCCAATCCCGGACGAAATGTTTTAGAGCTTGCGAGACACTAACGCGTTCAGCAGATTTCCCGCCGGATTCAATCTCATCGGTAAATTGCTTAAACTCTAGAAATTCGACCTGGTAAAACGAGAGAGCACAATCAAATATTTCCTGGGCTATTTTATCATTTTTCTTAATCAGCTGCTCAGTGCGCCGAATCTTCTCCTCATAGCCAATAACGGACTCGACCAACTACCGGAGTTTGAGTTAGTCAGAGTGTAGTGATGCCTAGCGGAGGTTTCTCACGACGTTAAAGGCAAATGTGCGAGTTAAGTTGGGGTTGGAAAGCGATGATTATGGTTTCGTACCAGTTTCTGCTCCTTTCCCACATTACTGTACCTCCGGCGAATCGTATCTAATTCTTGCATGGCTGTCTTCTCATACCGGTAAAAACCATGCAGCGCCGACAGCAGTCGATGGCGAGCATGGTGCGTGGGTGGCTTGCCGCTTTGCCAATGCAACCGTTGGTAGAGCTGCTCCCTCTCCTGCTGATGCCGACCTGGAATATCCGAGACGGCAAAATGAAGCCTTGTCTAGAAATAAAACACCACCGTATTGGAAATCCGATTATACATGCAGGGCTGTTGGGAGGTACATTGTATCATACCTGTCGTGGCGTTCACATGAGCTCCTGCCACTGGGGGTCTTCTGGGTCTTTTACGTACCTCTGAAATAATCTTTGAAACGGCAACCTCTCTATTCTTTGCCGAGAAAAGAAATGAATCCCGGTTGAAGTAGATAGCGAAAAGGATAACCGCAGTGGTTGCGCCAATATGAAACCAAAGGCGAACCGGAATCATGGTCGACGTATATAGCTGTCCACAGTGCAATAGGCAAGTCGCAAGTAGCACCGGGCAAAAACACCCTCGAATGAAAAGGCTTGCCCTCATTCTTTTATACAACACGAGCATCCAAGGCTGCAAATGTGCTAGGGGGACCTTGGTGGTAGTTTTGCCGAGTAGCACTAGCTTTGCATTTATAACATTGGATATAGTCTGCCGTAATGCCAGAGCTCAATATCTCGGAGCTCTCGGTCGTTCCAAATGGAAGTGAGATCCGATCCACTCGACCCTACTCCGTAAACCAGCTTGAGTTCACGGATCAAGTCCAGCGGCTACCATCGTGCTTCACTCGTGGACTTGCTGGTCAAGGCATTGAACCCGAAGGCATGGAAAAGCAGCATTCAATGCCAGCTGGATCCGAGCACAAAGCAAGATGGTTACCCAACCGCCATGCCTGTGAGCTCGTCCCCCCTAGCACATATATCTCCATCAGATGTCGATATCGCCATCACCGTTCTTGGCCAGCCTTCTGATCCTTTCCCAAAAGCGTTAGACCGACCGCGTGCACGTGACAGGCCCTGCTCTAAGGAGTATTTTTGAAATCCATGGGAATCATCACTCTTTCTCAACATCATCTTCCGTCTCCTCCTCTGCACCGCTGCCTGTTCTCCTGGACGCTCTGTGTCCCTGACTCTGTTCATCCTCAGCAGCGGAGATACAGCAGTGCTGCTCCCTGCCTGGCCAGCTTGGCACGTATAACAATCGATTTTTGCTTGCTGTGAACCGGCCAGAACTTGATGTTCTGTTGCCTATATAGCAATTCTGCACGTTAGCTCTCTGTTTATATAACAGCCAAGTGATCTCCGCTTCTGGATAGTTCTTAGAGGCACACAGTGTCTGTTCGGTGCAGACACATTCACTCCGAGAGTGCAATATCCCATCCGGCCGTTATCCGGCCGTCTTTTGGATACAAACTGCCTTTTTGTTTCTGGGTCTTGAGATTTGAGAAAGCACCTTTTGGGTGTCTGGTCCCTGGCTTGGTTGATCAGTTGGGTGAGTTGCTGAAGGTGGTTGGATTGCTGCCGAGAGTGTTTACCCCCCGCCTTCTGATGCGTCCACGGCACATGATGCCAGCCTGTTAAAAAATATCCCACCGCCCTCACTTTCTTTTCAGTCTTTTCACCCTCCTCCTCAAGAACGCTACATATATCTTTCTAAAGGCGGGCCATCATGCCTGACCTAGCGGCGCCTGACGGGCTTTTGGGCTCTCATCCGCAGCCAGTTCCTACCTTCAACGGTCCCCAGCGAGGACATAGGGGTCATGGCAAACGACAGAGGAAACATCCGCCTTCCCACCAAGCGGGACCCTCCGGGGCATTAAGCGAGGCCACACAAGGGACATGCTACAATTGCGGATCTTCTGATCACTTTGTCCAAAACTGTCCTGAACGACGCCAGGACGGCCACCCGTAAGTCCAGCCTGCTCTGAGATCAACATTTCCCCGAGGTGGGCAGCTGATCTCGCCATTTCCAGCGGCTCACATAGAAATCCACATCCTCCCAAACGGCAGAGAACGGCAGGCTCAATGGAATCGCATCTTCGTGGAAATTCGTCGCACAAGCACAAGCCCCGCCCTCAACGAGGGTTCACACACCCGCCGCCGCCCGATTATCGCCAATATGAACCACCTGGGCACTATCCACCGCAGCCTCGTGATCCCTGGCACCATCCTCCGCCCCAACCTTATGGATATGCTCCTTATGGACCTCATGAACCGCCTTATCATTCGAATGCTTATGGACCCCAGTACCCTCCTCCTCGAGATGCTCACGGCCCTATTCAACAGGATTATTATCCTCCGCCGTACCCTCGCCACCATGGGGAACGGGACTACCCACCTTATCATTCGGAACATCGACCACCCGCGCCCAGGGATGTCCAACGCAGGCAAGCTCGAGATTACTGGAGTCGTTATGACAATGTGCGCTCAGTTGCACCAGTTGTTGAGCCTTGGATGGATGAGCTGGACCCTATTGAGATACCTGATACCAGACATGATCCAAATCAAATTGGTAAGCTATGCTGGCAACGCTTCTGTTTAAATGCTCATTGTGGATGCAGTGTGGAGACCACCGCAAGCCGTTGCTCGACCTCTACCTTCAACTTTGACTGACCGGGATGAGCTGACCATGCCGCCGCCGATGGCCTCTTTGCCCCGTGACATGTCTGTCTCAAAGTATATCCTGGATAAAAAAGCCGAAGAATTTGATTGCAACATCAGAGATACTGAGGATTGGCCCTTTATGATGGACGACCCAATTTTCCTAGAAATCCCAATGGACAGTGAGTTGATTTCCGTCAAAGAACTTCTTGCCATTCGAGCCAAAGTATACGAAACCCATCGTGTTGAGCGACAGCCTACACCTGCACCCAACGATGAGGAAGATGCGGAAAATGAGGAAATCAGATATGAAGATCCCGACCAAGCCAGCGATGGAGATCAAAACCAGGAAGTCTCATATACCAGTGACTCTGAGTCCTATGACAATCAATCCAGATCAGATGGCTCTCACCGTGAATTTCGGGATGAACCTTCTTCGCCTATATCTGGCGAGATCATCGAGCAAGACTTGTCTGAACAGCCACTCGACCAAGCAGACGATTCTCATTCGCCTTTGATGTAAGTTTCAGCCAGATAACTATCAAGTCATGTTTTAATGCAGAACCACTTTCTGAACTTTGAATAGTCATTCACGACAGGAGCCTATTGCCCACAATCAATTTTGGGATCGCAACAACCGCGATCATGGAAGACGAGGTGGCCCGCAACACGATATTAACTATTCTAGTCAGAAGCAACGCGACTATCGTTTGAACTCACAACCCGGATGGCGTGGTAGACAGCAACAACAATTCGTACCACCACCTCCACCTCCAAATGGGGATTCAATTCAGGCAAGGCGAGGATCCACGGAACATGCAAATGAAGTCGTCAATGGCTATTCCAGCGATAATCATCGTGAAAATGGCCGCGAAGAGCATGGTCATCGGCAAGAACCAGAAGCAACCTCCGGAAGCATTCACCAAGATCACCTGGACTCTCGAGGCTATGCAGCTTCTCATCGTCACCGCCATAAGCGAAATAGACCAGATGATGTTTCTGACAGCGGTGCTGAGGAGCCTCGTCGTCAAATTGACGATGTCACTCCAAGGATGAAGCGACGCCAGCCTCAAGTGGCGGAAGCTTACAGGTATATTCTCGTCGCCCAATAACAACGTGTGTACTTTTCTAATGTCATTTAGTCGTCGATGGTGAGCCGATGATCGACACCCAAACATTTCTGGCTACTTGTTCTCTTTTTTCTTTCGATAACCCATACCCTTTAAAATCTCTTAAACTGAAAAATCCTTTACTTGGGCCTACGGCTTAACCAGTCTGTCTTCTTTGCGAAAACCCCTCTCAATCGGCTCCGTCGGGAAGAGACAAGGCATCCAAACTTTTCGTTTGGATCAATTGCTCTGCTCAACGTTCCCTGGAGACAACGACAAGGATACCTGTCATCCGCGGATCAAAGAAAATCCCCATACGATGTACCGGGGAGAGAAGATAATATTTGCTGTTCTCATTCTTTCTTTTCCTTCTCAACTGCCGTCGGCTGGGTAATATTATTACATCTCTGTAACAGGAGCATTTTTTTAATTCGGAGTTCACGATTACTCTTGCACTGAATGAGTGCTAGCCATGTCTCCAGAAAACACGGAGAGACCATATATCCAAACTTCCAGTTTCAACTTTCCTTTAGGATTTCTTTCATATGATCTATGAGGTAACTCGAGACGTACAGGGCAAATTGTACTTCTGCGAGTTTCTTTTCAAGTAAAATGGCCACAACTCTCAGGTAGGCAGCATTCTCAATGTAAAACAGAGTCATCTTGACCGTCAACCAATCATCAATTTTTGAACAGAGTGCCGAGAGCCCTCGTCTGAGGGCACTTGCGGCTCCTTGAGGGTTTACCACAAGTCCGCAATAGGCTGAGCATGCACCATGTAAACGGCAGGGGAGCGAACTGTGTATTCCCCAAAGTCTGCCAAGCTGCGCCTGGGTTATCATGTGCGCAGTCAGCTGCTTCATGGCGATGCATCTGCTTCTCCTCATTATCCTTGCTGGCTTTCAAGGCTGTGAAAATGCCTCATACCCAAACGTTTGGATGGGGTTATCCGGCTCCGGAATTTGCAGATAGAGAGTGCGCGCAATGGACACACGCCGTGTGGGAAATTCGTTACTTTGGGGATATTGAACCCGGCTAACAAGCAGATCCGGCATTTGCCTAAAGCTACAAAACAAGTCTCATACACAGCACGCAGGGAAGGTTATGGTCCTGGTAGAAGCTATCAGATGCTAGATAGTCAATTTCTCACTCGATAGAATGGATAATAATTGAGATTTTAGCCCTCTGCACTTTCGTAACTACGTGATGCATGCAAGCGTCCAAACAGATCGGCTTGAGTAACCTTGAACGCGGGTAGACGAACCATGGAACGCACCGCTCCAGGAACCGATCACAGACAAGTCCATACCGCGAATCTCATGAAGGGTCAAAAACATCTCCTTTTTCACTCACCCGTCGCCTCTGAAATTGAAAAGGCTGAAATTAGCCCTTCGTGTTCAGCTAAATTTAGCTCCTCGTGCGCGTGTTTAGTGCCTTTGATCGCGTCAGCATGATTTTCCCTCTCGTGTTAGTATTTCAGGGGGGGAAGAAGAGCATGGATGGCAGCGGAGAGATATACAGGAAAAGGCTTCGCTGATTTAATTGCAGCGCTTGCTTTCTTGACATGATTCCATTTGTGGGGTAATAGGATTTCTTGAGTCTGCTTTGTTCAATTCTTTGAGAATTGGTCGCGATCCGATTCACGCTGAGTGCGGTAAGTTCGGAGAGCCTCTCCGTCTTCGCATGAGCAATACCAGTACGGAGTCATATGCGATACTCATTAACTGACCAAAATGCAGATTATAGGATAGATCGGCGCAAAAACAGATACTACACATACAAGAAAGGATGCGGCGATTATCTTTAACCAACGTCTGCTTCATCCTCCTCATCGTCGCCGCCTCCACTCTCGGAAGCCCCGTCGGAGGGGGCACAGGCGGAGGAGCAGCAGGCTCCCCAGGCAATGGCCCTCTCGGCAGCCCTCCCGGCGGACCACAAGGACCCGTTCCTGTTGGCTCCGGGGGAGATTCCAACGACGGAAAGCAAAAGCCAGCCAACCCTCACCAGAACACATATCGGGCCGTGAATACCTCCTTGGCCATCCTGAGTGCGATCCTGATGACGATGACATATGCGGTGCTGATTGGGCCGGGGACGAGGCTGTCGAGTACCAGCAAGATCCCGCTGGGAGCGGTGAGGGCGAATATCAGCCATCTGCTCTCGAGGGCGTGGCCGGGTGCAAGCACGACGTCCGAGACGGGCGGCGCGAAGCCGGAGGCGTCGGTGGATGAGGATTCGATTCGGTTATTCTACGTGGGCAAGCTGGATGGAGATGGTGGGGAGGGACGGACGGCGAGGGGCGTGGAAGACTGCGAGGCGCTGCCCAGGACGAGGGTTGCTCCGCCGCCGATGTGGTTAACGGCAGGCTCGTCGCTGACGAAAAGCATCGTCCAAGTAGCGATATGGGAATGGGTGTGCTTGTGGATGGTGCTGGCCATGGTGGTGTCTACGCTGATGTACAACGGGTTCCTGACGAAGCAAAAAGTGCCTGATGCGTATCCCCGTCTGGTGGTTGCGCTGATCTATGTCACGGCGTTTTGCATCCACGCTTGGTACGTGTGGAAGACGTGCCGGAGTTTCTTCACGCTCTTGGGCGCGGGTGCTACTTGGAGCTTGCTGAACAAGGCGTCTTTTGCGTCCGTGGACCTGAGCCAACTCAAGGCGGGCCTTTTGGGAAACGCATCGCCGGTGTTTAGAAAGATCGGGAAGCCAGACACGAGCCCTACATTTCCTCCCTATGAGAATTGCCGTCTGAAAGGAAGCGAAGCCGTGGAAAAGGCTGACTCTACGGACGATGGCTCAACGCTGGCAAACGAAGATGAAGGCGCTGTTAACACTGTGACACGCTGGCAGAAGCAAGAAATCTCATCTACTGTGCAGGCAGCCAGCGTGGCGCTAGAGCGAGTGATCACAAACGTTGTATCAATTGTCGGCATTACCATCACGACGGGCTTTGCGACATGGACCTCGATCTCCAACTCCGGAGACAGCACCAGCCAGCTCGGCTCTCTGGCTCTGCTTGCTTCTCTTACAATTGGCTCCGGAGCCATGTTTAGCAGCGCAATTGAGCTCAGCGTGATGGACACCTCGTTTCGAAATGTCCTGTTCTACAAAGAGGTCCTTATCAACAGACAGGCTACGGCACATGTGCAAAAACGGGCTAAAAAGAAGAACGTTGTTGGATTCACACATAACACGGTGGAGATGAAGACGGTTGGGATTAGGGAATTGGCTAGTTTCACGAAGCTCTGGGCCTTGATAGTTTTTGGCCCTGCGTATGCGCTGTTGCCCAGCGAAAAGGACCATTTCAGACAGTCCACTGGCGCGGATTTCGAGATCCGCACCAGCGTGAGGGAGCACCCAATCCTCCTGACGACAGCGGCTACAACGGAGCGTCAGGCACACTCTGATGACGGTAATTTCGAAAATATCAATGTGTGCTTCCTTGCCAATGGGGAACGATTGTCTCCAACGAGTTCGATCTCGTGCGAAAGCAAGCAACCCCATGTCGATGAGAAGACGGCGTAGGGGTGGTTGGGCGCATCTCCATCTCCCTTGATAGCAGAAGTGTTGTACAGCAATCAATCATATGCTACCATCGTCCGGTCCCGTGCTCTCCTTCTTGTTTGCAAGCTCCGTTTTCGAATGTGATTTCAGAAATAAGACACTGATACTGAGTCCATGGTTTGGCCACTCACGACGGTAGGACTGATACCGAAAAGCACCTTCAGACCCTGCGTCCGCTGACGGATGGCGATCAACTATCGTCGAGCCACTATTCTGCGTAATGTTCTCCGGCTTCACTCCATGGCGTTCTAGCTCACAAACAGCCAACGTCGAGAGCTTGAACGATGTTCCGCAAGGAACCTCTTTGCCCAGAGCCAAAGCCAGCTCTTTTCGGTCACTCTCTGTCATTTCATGCCTCACAGTCGAAGAGCTAAGAAGGTCCTGCCGTCCCGCCTGAACAAACACATCCCGAATGGACTGTTCCATTTCGTCATCCCAGCGAAACTGTGTATACCGATCCCCTATTCCCGGCCCTATATATGCGACAATCCCATCCCGACGCGCTCCACAAGCCACCATCGCATCAAGCGTATTCCTCACAACCCCTCTTACCAGTGGCTTCCAACCCGCATGCGCCAGGCCAATCACTTGCGCCTCCGGCTCGTACAAAAATATCGACTGACAATCCGCGCCTTGAACTCCAAGCACAAAACGAGGCGACCGGGTGACGATCCCATCATACGTCACTGCTGTCGGCTCATTCTGTGGTTCGACGGGCATGATCCCGCCCGTGCGCTTGTTGGCGACCCATTCGAAGTTCTCCGCTATGATGGCCTGTCCGGAATGCGGCCAGCCTCCATTGGGCCAGGTCAAACGCCCGCAGTCGAATGCAAGCTGGCCGGCGAGGTATTCTAGGTTTCGACGGAAATACCCTGACTGGCCGTCTCCACCGGTGGGACGGAAGGAGAAATTGTGGTTCTTTTCGGATGAAGTTCCTTTACCCGTGAAGGCAGCGCAGATTCGATGCTGGGAATCGAGCCCCGAGGCGTGGTATATAGGGGCGACTAAGGATGTCATTGTCATGTTGGACTTGGGCCACGGGGTGGAATGGGAGAAGCGCTGTGGCTGATGTTTGCGGGGTAATTCTGTCGAAGATTAATAAGTGCGTACTCGAGTCGAATCAGCACCACTTTGTCACGCGAACTCGTTCAAACTGGTAAATGGTGGTTTCTTCGCGATATATATGTGTAGTAAAACTGATATTTTGATGGCCCCAAAAGAGCGCGTCTATGATCTAAATCTTGCTTCCAAGCTGGACTGGCTTGAGAGCTCCTAACAAGCTCCGGTCAGCTATATGTTTCACCACTGTTCCACCCTTCTGCGCCTTGATGCGCTAAATGCGTGGGACAGTGCTTCCCTCCCGCGATCTGCATCTTGATTCTAGTTTCCGGCCAGCGGCACAGACAGCGCTCCTCTCTCATTGTACAGCACATATATCTCCCCCAAACCCCAGTTGCGAGCATACGATGGCTAAGACGCCCTTGTTTTAGCATTTCTCTGCCGGGGTCCCCTCAAATTTCCGGTGCCGGTTTGCAGGCAAAAGTCATCATCTGCGTAAGGACGTGGCGGTTCGAGCTGCGATATCCACGAGTAGTTCTGTCATGGGTATGCGGTGGCGAGTTTGGGAAGAAGGGGTTTCCCTCATAACTAGCACCTGGCCTGTCTTAACCCATCCGTCCATGGTCGCTGAGTGCCTGGCTGGGAATTTCCAGCTGCACCCTTTCACGGCGCATAGGCCTTGTTGACTCCTGGTCGCCCAGCAGTTCCTGCAGACTCTGTGCTTAGTCATCAGATCGGGCATGTTTGCGGCAAGCTTCTCTCTCTCTCTCTCACACAGCACCGGGCCGATATCAAACAACAGGCATTCCCCAGGGCCGCATTGCCGTGCTGACCACTTCACGTCCCGCGTGTGTAGGAGTGCTAGATTGCCGAGTGGACAATTAGCAATGTTCTTCACGCCCTAGACCCGCGCTCCTTTACAATCCCTCCCACGATGCGCCTGAGCTCCCCAACTGGTCCTGCTCCTGTTTTCTTTAGGGGTATTCTTTTCGGGTTTGTGCAGGCTATCCTTATTGTTTGAAACGGCATCACAAAGACGTTTGTCTTTGCTTTGTTTTTAAGCAGCCATGCCTGGACTTCCTGGTTAGTATTTCCTTGCCTTGGTCGATGTGGTTGACGGTGGGGCTGATATTGGGGACAGCGAGCATTGATTTAGACGAATGCATTGAACGCTTGTATAAAAAGGAATTGTTGGCAGAGTCGGTGGTCGAGGCAATATGCGCCAAGGCCAAGGAGCTGTTGATGAAAGAGAGCAATGTGGTGCACATTGCCGCTCCTGTCACTGTCGTCGGCGATATCCACGGCCAGTTCTACGATCTGATCGAGATTTTCAAGATTGGTGGTTTCTGCCCTAATACTAATTACCTATTCCTCGGTAAGCATTCCACCTACGGGCCACGTCATTTGGACCTTCTCTTTTTTTTGCTAAATCGCCAATGTGATTGTCAGGCGACTACGTCGACCGCGGCCTCTTCAGCGTCGAGACGATCTCCCTCCTCGTCTGCCTCAAACTCCGCTACCCCCACCGCGTCCACCTCATCCGCGGCAACCACGAATCCCGCGGCGTCACCCAGTCCTATGGCTTCTACACAGAATGTGCCCGCAAATACGGCAACGCCAACGTCTGGCACTACTTCACCGACATGTTCGACTTTCTCACGCTCAGCGTCGTGATCAACGACCAGATCTTTTGCGTTCACGGCGGTCTCTCGCCATCCATCCATTCCATCGACCAGATCAAAATTATCGATCGGTTTCGAGAGATCCCACATGAAGGGCCCATGGCCGATCTCGTCTGGTCCGATCCGGATACGGAACATGACGAGTTCTCTTTGTCTCCTCGTGGTGCGGGATATACTTTTGGGGCGCAGGTGGTGAAGAAATTTCTCGAGATAAATAATATGTCCCATATACTTCGGGCGCATCAGCTATGTCAGGAGGGCTACCAGATCCTTTATGACGACCGACTGAGCACGGTATGGAGCGCTCCCAATTATTGCTACCGGTGCGGGAACCTAGCCAGTGTCCTAGAAGTCAGTGACACGGGCGAGCGGTACTTTAATATTTTCGATGCGGCGCCGGAAAACAACGATATCCATCGGAGCGAGCAACAGGCGCAGCAGGGAAAGAATGGACCGAGTCCAGTAATTGAATACTTCTTATGATACCCTTGATTCATGTCATTTGCAGAAGTGCCTACTGTTTGATTTTTCTTTTGGTTATGGGATAGATTCCTGTTCTCCAGTAATGAAACGGAATACGGCATTTCTCGTGGTTAAAACAAAACACGATTTGTGAGGACTCGTCTCGACAACCGCGAGTCCTCAAGTAATTTTTGCATTAACAAAAAAGCAAGAGAGGGTATGGACTAAAGACCCAGCCAAAAATATCCTTTCGAAAAGATGAGACGCGTTTTCGCCATTCAGCTGAACAAACGCCCGACACAGCTAAACCAAATCACCAATCCTTGGTGATATCGAAAGACCACTCGAATTGCAAGTAGCTAACGTCGTCATCGTCCACGAACCTGGACAACGCGTTGTAGTGGGCCCGCATAAGGAGGCCAGACGGCGCCTGTTCCTCGTTGACTACAGGGACAGTTAGCGCAAACGAGTAAAACGCGGACTCGGAAACTTACACTTCTTCACGTGGACTGGGACGTCGGTTGTGTTTGGAGCAAAACTCCCCTGTTACCAATCTGTTCAGGGCCACATGTCCACCACAACAACATTTTCTTTACTCACCAGCATTTCTTGGTCCTTGCTTATTCTCACGCCCTTTCGTTTGACGACCTGGACATACTTCAATCCACTCAGCACTTCATGCTGCACTTGGAATGTGGCCTTCATTCTAAATTTGGCGCCCTCTTTGATTGTGAATGGCTTGTTTTTGAGGTCGTCGACGGCGCCGGGGGCAGAGAGATCGACCGTGATATCCGGCCGGCCCTCAACTTCCAGGGCGAGAGCTTTGATGATACATTTGCGAGGATCGTTGGGGTCGGAGATGAGAGTGCCGCTGCCCAAGCCGAGGGAGGCCTTCCAGCGGTTGAGGGATTCGTCGTTTGCATCTAGAGTTGGGAGACGGGGCAGGTTAGCGGGCTACGAGCCAAAACGTTGCAGGGGCGATGCTGCTGTTCAGCCGAAGCCAGTGTATAGACAGTATTGAAATTGTCCAGATAGAATTCCGCGCAATGCATCTCACATGCGTTTGGGGGAGTGGGCGTAAGAGTAGCACAGACTTACCCAGCTGCTGGTATTCCTCCAGCGTCTTCTTCTCACTGACTTTGAAGCCCTCGGTCTTTGTCGGGTTCAAGTCATCGGGGTGATGTTGGTCAGCCATGTTGGGGAACGGATGCCTATTCGACCCGACTGTCAAGGACTTTTGCCAATAACTGGGCGGTGGGAGAAGTGAAAGCCAACCAAGGATCAACGAGCGGGGAGCGTGTAACAATTCAGCTGAGGACAGGACCTGGTGGGAAGGGAAGGGAGGAAGAGAGACGAAAAGGACAGGCAAGTCCGCAATGATCTGGCTGAAACGAGGGGTAGATTTGTTATTATTAGTTAGTTTTTCGCCCACACGCAGTTCTCGGAACAAATCAGCCCAGAAAAGGCTTGTCGAGTTGCGGTGGAAACGGGGGCCTGGAAGGAAGACTTGGTCTGCATGCAAGCTCTGGTGGGGTTGGTGCTGAGACTCGCCGTGACGGATTTGGCCCCCTCACAGAAGAACATGGGCTCATGGAGCTACGGGGCTGGTATGTCAATGGAGATTACTCTGTATGGTGAGTTGATATCGGGTGCTACGACGTTTAGTCTTGCAGGCCAGCGAGTGTTGTTTATTGATTGTGACTACGGAGTACAGTCTACAAGATAGATCCGGGGGCTGGGTCGACGTGGAGCTTCTGGCCGGGTAGGTTTGCCAGCGGCCCACGATTGTGGCGAACGATGACGCTCGGATGTGACAAGAACGATGGAGACGATAGGAATATACCTATGGACTCGGTATCAGGAACGACTGGGACGTGCAATGTAGTTCGTCTGCATCGATCATGTCAAGTATCTAGTTAGTTAGCAGATCAAGGCGCATCTTCAGACTTCGATGTGAGAATAGGCCGTCCATTGAGTTAGTTAACTGTTAGTTAACTAGCTGGCCGTGTCAGTGTCTGCATCAACATCCGTCAACTGAGCTTTTGTAGAACCAACAGCAGACTCGATGCCGACACGCAGAGGAGCTCAATTGAAGCATAGTCAGACAATGTCCCCAGGATTCAAATTGACCTCGCCGCCGCCGCCCAGTCTTACTAAGCGAGTGCACCCTAGACAAGGCTCCCGGCCTCGCCCGCAGTAAGAGCACGCTAAGGCCTGCCGTGACATAAGCAATCCCCCTTGATCTCATCGCTGAATTGTTGGCCGTTTTCTTCTCTCCTTCACCCCCAGCCATCGCCTTTTCGTATTTTGCTGCTCTTTCTCGCCGGATTGTTGGCCCAGACTGAAATAGCCCCAAACAATTCCACTGCCGTTGCGCCAGTTATCTTATCTCTGGGTGTGACCGTGTCCCATCCGCCGGTGCTCCCTCAACTACGCGACCCCGGATCTGCTGGTGTTGCCCTGCGATCAAGAAACGCGCCTGCAACGTGGCACCCGTCTTTTTTTCATCGCAAATCTGCCCTTTTGTCAACTCACATTTGAATCGAGCGCCGACTCACGAACCTCTTACCCAAACACCCCTCAGTCCCCGCGCGCGCGCTCGTCTTTTTTCCGCCGTTTGCCTACTTTTTGATCAGGGTCGCTTGGACCAGGGCCTTTTCTTCTTGTCGCCATGCGATCACTCCCAACCAAACACAACCCGATGGTCCAGGCGGACGTCTCCCCTCCACGTAAGTGTGGCCCCAGTTAAGTTCGCTTCGTTGTCGTCGTTGCCAGCATCGCTCGCGATCGAATCGCGCCTGCAGATGGCAATTGGACGGATTCCTTCTCGCCCAACGGACTGGGAATACTTGGCTAAGTCGCGTCGTTTGGTATATACAGATGAGGAGCTCCTCGCGCGACGCCGTCTGGGCTCAACCAACCTGACCGTCAAGCCAGACCATGTTGGCACATCCAATGCCACCAGGCCTGAGAATCTCGGCGTCTTCGAGTACGCCCATCTACGAGCGCCATTGCCGAAGAACCTGAAGGGCTCGGAGATTTTCCCCATGTCCCCGACAAGTCAGCATCCAGACACCTACTTCTTGATGGTGAGACGCTGCTACTTCTTCCCATGCGCGCCTTTGGGCCGCGCCTTTGCTCATATGTATACACATCGTTTATTAACGCCGTTTTTGCCCCAAACAGCGACGCAGCAAGGACGGTTACGTCAGCGCAACCGGAATGTTTAAGATTGCCTTTCCTTGGGCCAAACAAGCTGAAGAGAAAGGTGAGCGCGAGTATCTCAGGGGCCATCCCAACACCAGCTCCGATGAGACAGCGGGCAATTTGTGGATCTCCCCTGAATTAGGTATGTTTATCTAGACATGTCCCTAACCTTTCCAAACTCATGTTGATTGCGCAGCCTTGGAACTGGCGGAGGAGTACAAGATGGCCAATTGGGTTCGCGCGCTACTGGATCCAACGGATATTCAGCAGAGCTCTTCAAAATCGCCGGCAAAGTCGGATGTTTCGATCACTGCACCCCCAAAGTTTGACATCTCCAAGATTGATAGTTCGACTTTTGCGCCTCCACCGCCATCAGTTCGCAGCAGGACTCTTCGCTCAGCATCACCTTCCAAGTCTACAGCCAGGCCAAAGGCCACTCCACGCAAGCGGCCAACACGGGCCCATAGGGAGGCGGAAACGCCATCAGCTGCTGCGGCCAGTGAATCACTGCAAAGCACCCTTGACGCTGTTGCGTCCATTGCAAAATCGTCAATTCTGGGTGGAAATGAGGAAGAGGCAGTGCAGAGCTCCAGAGCCGAAGTTAACGGAGAGCAAGAAGCCACTGAGTCAGAAGGAGAGCCAATACCGGTAAAGAAATCAACAGATCGTGTCAAGGTAAACGTAGAATCAGAAACCGTCGTGGATTCAACAGAAGATCTAGAGACCACCCGCACGAATGTTACGGTGGAAATGCCCAATGGTCTCCCCGAACTACCCCTTCCACAAGACACCGATGAAATGATTGCACGCGCTAAGGAAATGGTTGAAGAAGCGGTCAAACTGCAGGAAGCGCAAGAAGAGACCGGAAATCCATCCTCAAACCCCGCCCGGAAGCGAAAAGTGGAAGAAGCTGTTGAAGAAGAGGAAGCTGAGGCCCAAACTACGCCAGCGCAACCAGCTAAAAAGGCCCGATTACTCGAGGCGAGACTGAGACGCGAACGAGTTCGAAATCGAGCCCTTATCGGAGTAACTGCAACGCTAGCGATTGCGTAGGTGTTTCGCTCATTGCACACAGTGAATCTGCTGCTGACGATTCTTGACCTGTCCTTAGTGCTACGATTCCTTATTTCTTTTAGCCGAACTTGCCCAGAATACTGGATCATTCGGCTATTGACAAAACCATTTCAACGTACGAAGTATCGGAGTATCGGATAGGCATTTACAAGACCAGTGGCCGGAGATTATGCACCGGCACGCCTGCCTTTTAGTTTGGATCAACGGGCATTATCGACATTTCGGCACAGATGTCTCGACCCAGCCGCCATATTCCTCTTATTATTTATCCCGCAAGGGTTTTGTTAGGAGTCTTGTATATCATGCAAATTGATTTTGTATCCCTTCGCAAACTATCACCTTATAATCCTATTACCTAGCAATCCCAGCCTCCCGTACATTGCATATATGCCTATCTCTCTCATCTCCGTGCCTTTGTCCCCCGACGCTCTCTTGTCGCTGCAGACCCTTCTGATTTGCAGTTCCCAGCTCTGTCTGATTGCAGCACATTTGGATTTTGATCCTAGGATATCTGTTGCATCAGCCTACCCGTCCTCTAGCCCTCTCAACACTTTCATTAATCCGTTAGATAAACACCGTATGGCAAAACCTGTCAAAAATTAGAAAAGGCTGAGTTATACTCGATGAAGAGTATATCCGTTCATCGTAGCGTCCACTTAAACCTCGATGGTTTTCATATCGAGGAATCGTAACAAAACCTATAATTTCATTCATCAGTCTCCTAATTGCAGCGACTTTGGTAGAGCTGGAGATAATCCCTTCGGGGTTGAACCTCTTTGTCGTCGAGATGCACTTGGTCCTTGTCCTTGTCCCAAGCCGACCACCAAAAAAAAGCTCCCAGCAACAAGCTCCGAACTTCCCAAGCAACTTTCAGCAGCCAACCCTCCTCAGTCTCTCAAGATACCCGCTACTCCAGTTGAACAAATCCCTATTTGACCTTTTAATGCTGCATAGCTGACGACAAGCGGGAAGGGCAATGCAATGTCGCTGCCGGGATTAGACCTGTCGCAGCAGACCATCGACGCCCGGCGAGCTCCCCCGCAACCCACGCAGATCAATCTTCCCAAAGGATCGGAATGGAGATTTGAAGTCGCGTTTGGGAATACGACGCGGGTAAAGGTAAGGGGACCTACCCTTTTTTTTTTTTTTTTTTTTGATCTACCTATGCGCCTCCTTCTACGGAAAAATAGGCTGATATCCCGCTTCCTTGGGTCCCAAAGCTCCTCGCGGGCACTGCAGAGTTGTTCGGCACAGAACTTGCCAATTCCCAAACGTACACGTTTTCCGGAACCAAAGCGGCGATATACACATGGCAGGGATGCACGCTGGAGGTTGTGGCGGGTGACCCCGTCGCCATTGGGCCCGTGGGCAGTGCGCCGACGCCTCCGGGCCCGGGCAGCGGAGGATGCCAGGTCGAGTACACGGCCGAAGAGACGCCGATGGCGGAGTATGCGAATGTGCATTTTGCGCTGGAGACGATGAGACAAGAGGCGGCGGCGGCGGCGGGGAGGGAGGGCCCGCGGGTGCTGATTCTGGGGCCCGAGGATGCGGGGAAGACGAGTCTGGCGAAGATATTGACGGGGTATGCGACGAAGATGGGGAGGCAGCCGCTGGTGGTCAATCTGGATCCGTCAGAGGGGATGTTGAGTGTTCCCGGGGCGTTGACGGCGACGGCGTTTCGGTCGATGATTGATGTTGAGGAAGGGTGGGGGAGTAGTCCGACGTCCGGGCCGAGCCCTATACCGGTGAAGCTGCCGTTGGTGTATTTCTACGGGTTGCCGAGTCCGTTGGATGGGGAGGGGGGGTTTTATAAGGCGGTTGTGTCGCGGTTGGCGCTGGCGGTGACGGGGAGGATGGCGGAGGACCAGGAGGCGAGGGAGGCGGGTGTGATCATTGACACGCCGGGGATTGTTGGACAGGGGAAGGGTGCTTCTGAGGATATCATCCATCACATTGTGACCGAGTTTTCGAGTAGGTTGATTTGCTACGCGTCCCCCCATTCAAAGGAGAGCAAAGGGCTAACAGGGGCCGTTGTCCAGTATCTACCATCCTCGTCATCGGCTCAGAACGACTATACAGCACAATGGTGAAAAACTACGATAACAAGCCCATTGCGACGTCAGCAACGGCCGCGGCGTCTGACGAGCGGATCTCAGTTGTCAAAGTCACCAAGTCCGGCGGCTGCGTCGACCGCGATGCGACGTTTATGAAATACGTCCGCGAGTCGCAGATACGTTCATACTTCTTCGGCAGCCCCGTGCCATCGACCGCCTCCTCAGCGCTCTCACTCTCATCCACAGCAACCGGCACCGCGATAGCACTCTCTCCGCATACCTCACACGTTGACTTTGACAGCTTGACGGTCTACAGCATCACCATCGCCACAGACGGCGAGCAGGATGAATATGACCCATCCAAATACGAATCATTTCTCCCCGGCGGCACGGACGAAAACGACACCACGACCAGTTCCTCTCTTCAACCTCCTCCCGGGCTTCTCCCAGGCCTTGGATCCGACCTCTCAGCTGCCACCGCGAGCGGCGCCTCCACATCTTCAAACCCCAACTTGCCCCTCAAGAAACTCCCCTCCCCGGCGCCACTGTCGTTGGAGAACACCCTGCTGGCCATCACCAACGTGGCTGGAAACGCCTCGTTGGAAGAAGTACGTGATGCGAGCATCATGGGATTTGTGTACGTTGCAGATGTGGATGAGAAGAAGGGGCAGGGTGGGAAGCTGAGAGTTCTCGCGCCGGTGGGTGGAAGAGTGCCGAGTCGGGCGATGGTCTGGGGGAAGAAGTGGCCTGGTGAAGTGGTAGGGCTAATCGGGTAGGGTGAATGGCTTGACATTTAATCGAGCAGAAGCCAGCGAAAATGAGGTCAGATCGGCAATGCTATATACTATGCGAACTAACCATGCGGATAGGTGCCACTGTCGGTCTCGCCAGGCCAGGCTGCAGTGTCGTTCATGCTACAGGAACTCATCGACGGAAGATTGTCGAAGAGGTACTTTGTAGTTACATTAAAACCTTGAGCGAGTAGGTGACTATACAGTGATTCATCTTTATTAAATAGGCTAGACGTAAATTTAATCATACAGGCGTCTCGCTATGGTTATCAAATAGTTATACATGCAAGGTGATTATCAACCAACGATAGGAAGATGGAAACACACAAAACATAAAGCAGCCAGGGTGTACATGCAATAAATCAATTACTCCAGAAATGCAGACAGAACAGTTATCACCACAAACACAAAACCTACCCGGGGAAAAAAAAAATCACCGTTGGAAATCAATCATGGAGAAGCCTCAACAGCAAAAAGCCCATCAAGGGTGAAATTCATACATCATTCACTCCTCTTCCACTCATCCGCATTCCGCCTCAACTCCCTATCCCGATCATACCCCCTCGCAACATCCGCAAGCAAAATCTTCTTCCTCTCCCGGAAATTCGTCTCCGCATCGTACCGCCTCCGCACCGCAGCCTTCAAGTACCCAAAGTCCCCAAGGCGCACGGCCTCACGGAACTTTGCTCTCATCCGCGGGCTATACAGGTAGCAGCTCGCTTGCTGGCTGCCTCGCGCGGGAAGCAGCTGTGGGGTCCGAGTGATTTTGTTTGCAATGGGGCTATTGGCGATGGGCCAGACGACATCGTCGTAGCAGTCTTCGCAGACGGTGAATTCGGGAAGGTCCGGGATATAACGCCATGCGCCGACGACGACGTGGTCACGAGGGCAGTCGTACATGGCATTCTTGCGTCTTGCGTATTTGATGAAGTCGCGGAGGTCGATGTAGCGATGGGGGTCATGCATGCTGTGGGTGACGGCGGCATCGAATAAATCCAGGTATTGCATGAATCTTGTGCTGTCAGCACGGAGATCGCAGACACGTTCCTGCAGGATGGGCACGGATCGGAATGAATCGCACAGAGACGGCATGAGAATGGACAAGTTGCGGAAGCACGCTGAGCAAGCATTGAAGTCCGGGACGGTCCGTCCGGTTTCGGGGTCTGAAACGCGGTACCAGGATTGCATCGAGGGGATTCGACCGGTGCAAGGTTGGCCACCTACTGGTGGTCGAGTGACTTGGTATAGTAGCTCCAGATGGTTCAGACCAAGTTTCATTGTTTGCACGAATGCCAATCGAGCCCACGGCTGGCTGAGAGAGCATCGCACTTTTGCATCGGCTGATTTTGGGAGGCTGGGAATGAACAGGTCCCGGAAGCGCGTTTTTCCAATTTGCTTCATGCATGACGGGCAAATATTAAGGTGATCCAGTCCGATAACCGTGTACCAGTCACGGTAGCCAGCCATGGGAATTGACCTTGGGCAAGGCGAAAGGGAGAAATTGGGATTATCCGGGGAGCGACGGACTGTATCGGCTGTTGGCGCAGTTGAACTTCGAGGCCGGGCGTATGTGCTAGCCATCACTGCAGGGGATCGAGATGATACTGCTACGTGCGCAGTGCGACTGTTTCCATGACCATGACTGGAAGAAGGCAGCGATGGAGGCGAGTACGATTGGCCGTTCCGTCGTGTTGAAGATACCTCTGAGCCAGCTCGAGCCGCTGGCTGCGGGGAGTGCTCTTTTCGGGAATCTTTCAGTGTCCTGTCCTTCCGGGAGTATCGGAGGCTGGTGTAATCGGCTGTAGTGCCATTAGCTCCATTTGTTCGGCGACGGCCAGAGTCCGTTACGCTGTAACGTTCGGGGACAATCTCTTTCGAACTCGATCTCACAGGTGAGACTTCGGTTGAAATCCTTTCTGTCACTATCCGGCTTGACTCGCGCCAATGCTTGTAATGCGTTCCGCGGTAAGATGAGATTTCGTCGTCGCTATGCCACTCGTAGGTTCGCTCCTTTATCCAGGCAACGTCGCCATCTCGTTGCTCTTCCCATGTATTCCAGCTTAACCGTCGGCTTGTGTGTCGAGGGTTGTCGAGATCATCAAAGACATCAGCAGGATGCTGCGAATGTGGTCGAGACACGCGAGAAAGATGCTTGTCTCCATCAGCGCGAGAAGCATGGCGTTTGTACATGTCGTGATCCAGTGCGTCAGAAGGCTCTCTGGCGTATCTTGAAGTTAACGGTAACTGCTGGGCTTCTTCAATTTCATTAGCTAGGGATCCGAGAAACTGTGGTGGCGATGGGTCCAAACCAGGCTTATGTTTCCATTTCTTGTCATCATCATCCGGCTCCACGAAGCGGACCCTGTTCCCTTTCTTCTTGCGTCGGGTGGCATCAGAAGTGGACAAGGCCCGACGCGGAAGACCAGGAGAAAGGGGCTCGCGTCCAGGGAGCTTTCGTGCGGAGTTTGCTTCAACATTGCAGCGTCTCTTCGCGTCGGATTCCGCGAGAGCTGGGAATGGTTCCTGTACCTCCACGGGGACGAGTATAGGATACTGATCAATGGATCCTTTCGACAACACGGGAACATCATCTTGGTTCACATTGACGGCAGAACCATCTTCGAAGATCTCATGGAGGACGGATTCAACTTCATCTTCAACAATCGGCGCAGGAGGCCAGCTCCGCGCAACAGATATCGTAGAAGCCATGGCGATGAAGGAACAATGAGAACAAAAGCGACAAAAAAACGATAATCCTGCCCAGCAAAAGAGGAATCAATGCGACAACATCCGAGTATCACTAGCTGCTAGAACGCTTCCATGATAGTGTTTCTTGGAGCAACTGTTTCGAATCAGACATGTCCTTTGGGGGGCGGATTGGTTCCAAGGAGACACGGAGAGTCAAGGACAAAACGACAAAAAAGAAACAAAACGACCAGAGGCGAGGATCCGAAAGGGAGGCGTCCAATAGGGGCTTCAACCATGCAATTTCCAACGGTGATTTTTTTCGCGAGTTATTCGAGCATTGTAAGTTTGAGTAGCGAAGACAGGTAGAGCGACTGGCGGAACGATCGCGATATTTAAGCAGAAAAAAAAAAGAAACTACAGTCGAAAAAAGGATGATTTCATCCCCGCAGAGGCGGATATTCAGGCATTCAGGAGGGATTCGATGCCCATCGCCATTGGATTTCTCATCGTGCCAGAGTCCCATTCCCCGGCCAATGCAACGAGATATCACAGTGTAGCCAGGCGCAGCTTCAACTGTCCCTGCCACATGGAAGGCGAGTTGGTGACTTGGCCGCGCGAAAGCACAATTCTGATCTCTGCTTCAAGTGCCAGATTGGCCAGCAATTGCTTGCCTCCCGAATTAGGCTGAGCTGGGATTCACAACAGAAAAAGACACCAGGCCAATTCCAACGCCCGTTGGAGAACGCACCCAGAAATCGATTGGATATCGTGAGAGGCAAGTTTCAAAAGCATCTGGCCCTAGTGAAAACCGGGGAAGCCCTTGCGATCGCATCACCAACGGGCGAGCAGGGGAACGGAGCGCCCCGGGTTGACAGCGCAAGATGTAACGAGTTTGTTCCATCCCTGGCGCTTCGATTTGCCCGATGGCGATCCCTTGCAGGCGGCAGGCTTGGACGAACGCGAAACAAGGGCATCTGCCTGCAGTTCGGTTGCTGTTTCAAAACTGCTCTGTCTGGTGCTGCGATGGATTGGACAGCGCAGGCTCGAAGACGACGTCATGTTGGCTGTGTGTCTCCCAGAGAGACCAGCGAGAGCGAAGCGGCATGCAGCGATGATCCTGTCAGGCGTGATGCTCTGTTGGCTTCATGCCCAACGTCGTTTGGGCCACTGCAACGGGGCGTAAGGCTGCAGGTTCCCCAGCCCCCTATTTCTCGGAGGCACGCGCCGCGATTGACTGCACTTTTCCTCGGTCCTCGCTGCCATTGCACAAATGCAGCTTACTTCCTCGTCCTCCCGTGGAAGGCAAATGTCGTATCATGAGTCGCGAAGCGTTTTTGGAGGGAGCATTTCGTTTCCACCGAAAGTAGTGGATGCTGCTCGAATATTCGGACTTTGTTGTCGTGAATCCACATTTGTACGATTGAGTCTCAACAGGAGACGTGGACAGAGGTTCTCCGTCAAGCTCTCTTCGCAGCTCGATCTCTGCTGGTAACTGCTTAGTATTTTTGAGGATAGGAATCACCCACGCGACTTCGCCCGAAATCCCTCGCCTCCGATGAACGACGCGGCTTTGGTTCTAAACTGCCCTTCAAACATCCTCGGTGCGCCTGCGGAGCAAAACAGATAATTAGGAACCCAAGACACGGGTTTTGCTCAACGCCCGAAATCGAGGGCGAGATGGGTAGCAGGAATGGGCTTGACGGACATTGAGGCGCATGGAGCCGTTTTCCTCGTGCGTGGTGCTGCCTAACTAAATGGCCGTCGAACAGACTTGTGTTACTTTGGGTGCAACTGCTTGATATTCAAGCCGTCAAAGGGTTTTGAGGGCGCCTGTGACCCCCGAATGTCGGCCCCTAAAGCCCCTAAAACAAGCGCCCAGCAAGCCCGTTCCCGCAGCTCAGTTAGGGATGACCTAGGCCAAGGACTCGCGGCCGACGCTTACAAATTCAAAGCGCGGAACGCTGCCGATTTGCTTCGTCTGGCTTGCCTTCACTGCTCCCTCTCGGATTGACTCTGAAGGGCGCAATTGACATGCATTCCGCTCTAATGCCGGCGACGGGAGCTGTCTCGTCTCCACCGTCCCGGATGCAGAACGGTTGATACCTGATTGTTGCTCTCTCCCACGAACTCAACATGGCAGCAATTCGACATTTGTCATACCGTGCGGGGCCTGCTCTCAGAGTACATAACCCTCTCCGCTCCCTCTCCTCGCCTCGACCTCTGTTTCCCATCCAGATACTGTCTCAGACCGCAAAGCACCAAAGCACCATGGCCGCCACCACAGTCCCCACCGTCCAAAAAGCCATCCAGATCTCCCGCACCGGCGGTCCCGAAGTCCTGGAGTACCAGACGTCCCTACCCGTCCCCACCCCCGGACCCGGAGAAGTCCTCATAAAGAATAGCCTCTCCGGCGTCAACTACATCGACACATATTTCCGCACCGGCCTCTACCCGTCACCCAAGCCCGAAATCCTCGGCCGCGAAGGAGCCGGCACCATCGTCGCCCTTGGTTCGGGCCCAAGCCCGCAGCGATTCAAGATCGGTGATCGCGTCGCGTGGCTGCATACGGGCGGATATGCGGAGTACTCGGTCGCACCGGCGGAGAAGCGGGTGGTCAAGATCCCCGACGGGGTGAGCGATGAGCAGGCGCTGGCCGTGCTGCTCAGCGGCATCACGACGCTCTCGTTGGTGAAAGAGGCGTATCCCGTGCAAAAGGGGGATTGGATCTTGCTGCATGCCGCGGCGGGAGGTGCCGGGTATATCATGACCCAGATGCTGAAGGACATTGGGGCAAAAGTCATCGGGACGGCGGGTGGTCCCGAGAAGGTGGAGTTGGTGAAGAGTTTGGGTGCGGATGTGGTGATCGATTACAAGTCCCCCGAGGGCGCGAATTGGCTGGAGAAAGTCATGGAAGTTACCGGTGGTGAGGGTGTTGCCGCGGTCTTCGATTCCGTGGGCAAGGATACGTGGGAGAACAGCATCAAGGCGGTCAAGCGCAAGGGAACGATGGTGTTCTTTGGAAACGCTAGTGGCCCTGTGCCGCCGTTGAACATTCAGTATGTTTTGATTGAATTCTGCACCGAATGCCGGACCGCCGGTGATAACTGACTGCCGTCTCAGGCTCCTCTCCGCGAAGAATATCAAGATGCTCCGCACCACTTTGTTCAATTACATCGCAACCCAAGAAGAATTCGATTACTATACCACCGAGCTCTTCGATATGGTTAAATCGGGAAAGCTAAAGACTCGAGTTCACAAGGTCTATCCGCTGGAGCAAGCTGCTCAGGCACATATCGTACGTCCAGCTGGTCTCCCTCCACTCTACCCGTTGACATCCCCGCTGACATGTCCAATTGTAGGACCTGGAAGGTAGAAAAACAACTGGGAAATTACTTTTGAAGCCTTGAATTCCCAATGCATGTACGTATAAAAGAAAGTTGAGGTTGAATAAGAGGACTCTTGATCCAGCATAAAGGCATTGAAAAGGCTCTCTAAAATACCGAAAGTCGGTATCAACGCTATGATCAAGGCGGAAACAAATCTATTGACCAGGCCCATCAGAAATCGCTAGGGAAACACACGTCATTCCCTTTCCTTCTCGCCTGGACCAGTTTCCTCCATATGTTCTTCTCCATTTCCTGTAGGTTCCCAGCAAAGATGATCTGGCCGAATATCTCTAGGCTTTTTCCATCCTATCATAGCCTCGTTGGGCAAGACAGTGTGGAACGCACAGTATATCGCCAAAACATTGTCAAAGTAATAAACTCCGCAATTGAGCTCTCGTACATGTGCGTCGACTTTCATCCCCACGAAGCAAAGTCGGAGAAGATTGTCCTCGAGGAAGAATTCGAACTCAGTCGGATTTCCAGTCCCATCGCGGGTCAGATAGTTTGGTGTTTCTCCCTGCGGGAAATCTTCCTCTGGCGAGTCCGGGTTCCTCCAGGCTCGAGCTCGCAGTTTTCCAATCGAGTTTAGATCCGGCGCATACTCGTGGTAGAAATCCTTGACTTCTGGGCTCGCTGGCGTGATCTCTAGGACTTCGAATCCGTCTTCGTGGACAAGCTTTGCGGCGAGTTCATTTTCATTCGCAAGGTCGCGGAACCTAATGGCTTGTTCGTGGGTGCCTGTGCCAGCGAGGCCGAATTTGACCACTTTTCGGGCAGCATTCTCGGGCATGCCGGCAGACTCCATGCCTTCACTCCATTCCCGATCACCAGTGTATGCGCCAAAATATGATCCACCGAATAGGGTAGAACAGGCCATGTTGAAGTTACCAGGAGCAGCCGTATTCAACTGTTGGATTTTCCAGAGTTGGTCTTTCGCTAAATCACAAATTGAACGCGCAGCCATGATATTCTCTTTGAATTCTGGGCACACCTCGTGATAAAGGATGTAGTTGAGAAAGTTTTTAATGGTGCTCGTCACCAGATCGACCTGCTGCTCGGTGTCAAGGCTGATAAACTGTGGGATGACAGAGGAGCTGAGAGGAGTAGTCAGCGATAAAGCTAGCAAAAGGAGCCCAAGCTTGTGGCAGGAAATGGCATACAAGAACCCCTTCGCCACTGTTTCGAAATCAACATCCCAGTCGGCACGATCCTCTGGAATGTTTGTCTGAGCGGTAGCTGTGATTATCTCCTCGGAGTCCAAACGCTTGAGGTCCTTTTCATCATTGCCCTCGAACATTTTCTGATCAACCTTGACGCCTCCATATGAGAGATATTTCAAGAACACATCTCTGCGTTCAGAGTTCATCCGTCTTTTTGTCTCATATCGTTGGATTGCAGTCTCAAGGCGACTAGAAGCTGTTAAAAAGAGACCCCTGGAGGCGATTGTATGCAGCAGATGGTGCTTACTAGATTGCAGTGAGGGAACTTGAGTACATCGATGTTAGCGATTGGCGCTACACCTGGGGCATTGAGGACATACGAATCATAGAGCTTCTTTTCCTCCTCATATTCAGCCGGAGTCATTGGAGCATCGACATAATATTCTTCATAGCCAGATGGTTTCTTCTACATTCAACATCAGAACAGTCCGCATGAAATGAGAAGTGTTTTTCGACCTTGGATTTGCCTCGATTGCCTGCCTTTCTTTTCTTTTTTGCCTTCTTCACCTCGACCGCTTCATTCTCTTTTGGGAGAGCATCGCTCCCAGTCTCGCTTTTCACCTCGTCTTCGACAGCTGGCGGAGGAGAAGCATTTTCCTCAAACTCCACTTTGGGGCGAAGCGGTAACTCAATAGATGGAGAAACAGGTACTGCTTGTACAGTTTCTGATGGCATCCCGTCAGAGCTCATCTTGACGGCAGTGTTTTGGGATTCTGGGGAGCTGCTTAAAAGCTGAAATATTTGGCAAGAACAAGAAGTGGGATGTTATTTTTGATCAAGAATTCAGCTGCTTGTGAAGGTCGTAAAGGGTTGAAGGAGAAGAGAACAAAGAGTAAAGAAAAGCTACAGGCAACATCTCTGGAAGGGGAAGTGAGCTATTCACTGCAATGCAAGCCCAATTCAAGACATCACTCTAAGCTATAAGCATGCAAACCCCCAAGGCCGGGATGGAAGTGAGGAGGTGAATAAAGTGAAGAAAATGCAATTCACTTTCTTCTTCCATCTTTGATCTATTCTCAACAATAAGAGCTGTTTCAATATGCATAGCTTACTGCAGCTACCCATGGATGTACATTTTGATGCCCTCAGCCTAATGTAACTAGTTAACTGGCTGGCGGTGGTGGCGCAAGAGTGTGGCTGGTGCTGCCCTGGTGTGGCGTCCACTCTCGACTCATTGCCTGATCGAGAAGGCAACTCTCTCCTTCCCCTTCCGGCTGTTTACTGGCGTTCAAGGCACTGCTGTATGAGGCAGGAGACAGCATTTGGCAGCAAGAGCGATGCTTGCCCCGGGCCGGAAGTCGCACCTGCCTTTGTCGGACGGTGGAATGGGACGATATGGGTCCCTCCTGCTCTTGTCGGCCACCGCATATCTCCCTAAACAGTCATTAATAACACATTTCCCTCTTATTCCCAACTGTCTTCCTCGTCTGTCTTTCCTCAGTCTCTCTATGCCGTTTCCATTGCGCCTCTACGGTTGAAAGATGACAGAGGCTTCCCAGTCGCAGGGCAAAAAGGCCACAAGACTAGATGAAGATAGCTTTACGGCATTCAACCATGCTGCTGCCGGGCAGTAAGTCGATTTGAAATCTATTGGCCGATCTTATCATTGCTATATCTAATCCCATACAACTAACTTGAACTCTCGGTGACTCCAGTGACGGCGTTCTTTGCCATGAGGATGGCTCTCTGATCGCGAAGCCGTGCACCCAACGTGAGATTGACTTCTACGAATCTAGCGTCCGCCATCCTGAATTCCAACGGTACATGCCCACCTTCATGGGTACGCTGACCGCCGCGCCGCAAGATGCCGCCAAATTACCTGCCCAGCTCATCGGTGGTTCATCTACTGCGCCGCTCTCAACCGAGTTATCCAGTACAGACACATCTGCTACTCCGGAGCTGTCTGGTACCCCTTTAGCTACATCAGTACCGCAGCCGGAATCTCAATGGGTGCCTTCCGGTGGGCGCAAGCTGGATACTGGATTGTCCATTGTTTTAGAAAACGTTACCGGTGGCTTCAGCCGACCATGCGTATTAGATGTGAAATTAGGCTCCAGGCTGTGGGCTGATGATGCGGTCGCGTCCAAACGAGCGAAGTTGGATGAAGTTTCAAAACAAACGACAAGTTCGACTTTAGGATTCCGCATTGCTGGAATGAAAGTTTGGATTGGGGGAGAGAATGGCTGCCAGAGCGAAGAAGAACGTCCCGTTACGGTCAGCGATTGCATCCCGGCCGATGCTAAGGAAGAGATCAAATCAAAAATTCGGATCATCGAGGCCGCTGGGTATCGGCGTTACGATAAGTACTACGGCCGCGCATTCAATGACCAAAACGTCACGCAGGCAGTTGAGAGTTTTCTCGTCAGCGCTAGGACTGGCAGGATAGATCACTCGAAACTGATTGCCAAAAGATTGGCCGCAGAACTACGGGCCATGCAGGCCATGCTTGAGAAAGAAGAAAGCCGAATGTACTCCGCTAGTATTCTCCTTGTTTACGAGGGCGACTCAAAAGTGGTAGAGCAAGCTTTAGATGAGGAAGGCAAGGAGAAAACAGGTAGTTCTCTAGGAAATGATGAAGAGCCAAAGCTGGAGGATGATGAAGCGATGGACTTGGTTTCAATGACAACTCTCGATCCGCAAGCCGCGCAAACATGGGCGTCTCAAGGAACTGTCAACGTGGAAATCAGTGCTGAAGACATTGCTGGCCTGGGAGACCTTGCCGACGACGATTCGGAAGAAGCAACCAATAAAGTACACGATGCACGTTTGATAGATTTTGCCCACGCTCAATGGACCCCTGGCGAGGGCCCAGATGAGAACGCTCTCCAAGGTATACGCAGTTTAGCTCGTATTTTAGAGGAATTAGCAGAAATTTAGGCTTCTAGACAATACTGGTCATATATATGGATTTGACAAAGATGATTTTCGCGAATGAATTGATTTATTTCTATCAACCTGCTGGAGGTCGAATTATCAGTCACGTGATGCTCCCAAACGGATTCCCTTTTGAAAGCGAAGAATCTCTTTGCGATCATTGAGAACGACAGAATCCAAAGAATCTCTCAAAAGATGTTCCCTACGCGAGCCCTGTGCAAGCGGGCCATTTGGAAAGGTCCGCAAAACATATCCCGTTCGTGTCCGTTAATTTGATCTGCTAACCTGATAATTCTAGGGCCGAATATCGTCCCGTACGCCGACCTTCCCAATTCACATACCGTATACTCGCATACTAACTCAACAAACCACTCTTTCCAGTCTTCCTCTCCCGCGCACTTTGCCTCCACCTCCGGGCACCCCGGCCATCAAGACGGATGCACGCTCCGCCACCATCTTGCCCAATTTCGTCGGCCTGAGATTTGCGGTACATAACGGAAAGACGCACGTAGACGTGTTTGTTACAGAAGATATGGTGGGCAGAAAACTGGGCGAGTTTGTGCCGTATGTTGCCCATCCTTTTATCTATTTGATTTTCTGGTATGCCTGGGAGACTGAGAGGTTATAGGACGAGAAAGAAGTTTAGACATCAGCCGTCGAAGAATTCTTGATTTGAGGATTGAATACTGGGCAGTTTCTTTCTTACTTCTTTTTGGCTGGGACGAGAGGGGAGAAAGGGTCTGTTTCGTTTTGAAGCGTTTTGTGGACGCTCTGGACGGATACACCCTGAATGATTTTCGTCGTACTTGGCCGCTGAATCATAGCATGGAGTTTTATGGACGAAAGATGCCATTGACGGGATTAAATGTATCATAGGGGAAATTTACTCCACCACTGATTTTTCTTTTAAATTGCTTGCATTTTCGTCCAACGCGGGTGTATAATACATGTCTTCATATGGTATGCAAATCCTTCAGAAACCAAATTAGATCAACAGAATGCAAAAGGCCGCAGCCTCCAGTATCAAATATTAAGCCCTTCACCACCCCCCTTCGACGCCATAATAACACCATTCATGCCAAACTCCCAGACCCAGCAAGAATGAACACGAAAAAGGTATCGCGAGAACCATCAAACCGAAGCTTGGCCTGTCTCCCAGAATAACCCCCAACGTAGACCATTCCACTTCATTCATCGATAAAACTCCCCCCTCTTCACGGTCACCCCATATTCTCCAACCGCCATCCCTAGATCCTCCATCGTAAGCACCGTCTTCCCCTGACCGCCTCCCTGTCCACCACCACCAAACCCAGCCCTCTGCACACCCAAGTGCAAACCAGCTGCACCGCTTTTCCCCTTCCCTTGTTGCTCACCGCCACCGGCCGCACCTTGTCCGCTTCCCCCAGCAACATTCCCACCTTGGCCAGCGGCGACGTTAAGGCCCGCGGTGACGTTTATAGCGCCCATAGGGTTGTTTGATGTAGAGCTGTTCGACGCACGGATGCGAGAGTATTGGTATGCGTCCGCGGCGATGTCGGCGATGAACTTTTGCGTTGCGAGGGCGAGAAGGCGCGCGAGGTGAGGCGGGGTTTGGTTGGGACCGTTGCCTGGAGGCGGGAGGCCGGCGGTAGTGAGGTAGTGTGCTGTTACGGCATCTGGGATCTAGAGAACAATTTCAACGTCAGCTTGAAACGAAGCCCTCGGATCTAGTAGACTTGAGGCAGTCTAAAAAGTGGTTAAACGGGAACGGCACATACGATAGGAGCGTAATCATCCATCTGGCCCAAGAATTCTCTCAGGCTTGTGTGCTTTTTTGTTGGAGGTGCAATCGGATCTATTCCATTCAGCATATTCCCTCCAAGGCCGTTGGCTTCCAGCTTCGCATTCGCACCGGCATTTACTCCATTTGCCGCTGCATTGGCTCCCCCTCCTCCACTGGCGCCCGCCCCGGTCTCGTTGTCCGTTCCACCCATAACCACGTCTTGCTGCTGTTGCTGAGATGTGCTGCCGTTCGCCTTTGCAGTCATATCTTCATCATTACCCCCGGGGTGCGGCGTCGAACCAGCGGTACCTGCTGCTGGAGTAGCGGACTCCGGTGCCTCAGGCGCGGGATCCTGCTGGGAGTCAGCGGGTTGTGGATTATTCGTTGAGATATCGGGCCCTGGCGGCGTTTGCGATGATGCTGGCGTCGTCTGAGTCTGGCCTTGTGAATCCGGTTGCGATGGTGGTTGTGCGACATCGGCCTGGTGGCCAGATAAAGCCGGCGATTGTGATTCGGTCATGGTGTGCGTTTCAAGTCACTGGACAACTGGAAACAATGCAATGGGATAGGATGGATCGGAATCAGGACTAGGCAATAAGGCAATAAAATTGTGGGCTTATGTTAGGTTGGGTCTGCAGGTCGGTATCAATGGGTGAGAAGAGGAGAAAGTGACAATCTGGGAACTCAGTTTAGTACATGAATTGAAACTGATAGCTGGGAAGGTATCAACATAGTTAGAGCAGATGTTGAATTGTTCTCATGAACTGTTTGATGATAATAGTCCTGTAACTCCTGTTGGATGTCGTCCGATACTCGAATTCTGAAAAAAGATGGCTTCGGAGAGAGATCGTTTGATGGCGAACTCTGCTCTAGCACCAGTTCGTGTCAACATCATGAAGGAGCGCTTTTCCTTATTCTGATAGATAATTTAGACAATGCCTTCTCCTATCTCTAAAATGCTTTAATATGTTTAAAATGACATGCTCTAGATATCCTGCAAAAGTCGACTTTCGAAGACTAGACGCCATTCCACCAATCCTTGTAGTTAACCTGCCCAGCCCAACCTACCTAAATCATGAAATAGAAAAACCATACTGTATATCAACAAGTAAAGAACCAGCTTCAGAAGTTGAGGCAGTGCTTCTTAAACTTGACTCTGTAGAGCCGGATCAACCGGGTTCTGTTGCAGAGGCGGCTCTAAACTCTCCGATTTGGTTTCCTGCGTCAGCCTCTGAATCAGAGTCTGCTCAGCAGTCTGATCCAGTATTGCCTGATGCTGCTCTTGAGTCAGAGGAAGGGCAGGGGGGGCAATGTTCATGAGTGCGGGCTCGCCCGGGGTATGAGATGGATGAGCCCCTGCGAGAGCCATCATGCCTTCGAGCCCTTCCACGTGTGCTTTATCTTCCTCTCCTCGCCTCCGCTCTCGCTCCCTTGCTTCTTGTTTAGCGGCTTGAGCTGGTGCACGGGTTTTTAATTCCCCAGTCACAAACTTCAGATAGTAAGGTACCTCGATCCCGCTCTTGAGGAAGAAAAGTTTTAAATTGCGGGCTTTATCCTTGAGCTGAACTTGATTTCGATCTTTCAATGCCTCATTGATTGTTCCCCCTGGGCCAAACATGGCTAGGATCTGACTCCAATGAGGACCCTTTACTCGATCAAGGCCCGCCATTAATGCATTTTCTTCTTCAGTGGTCCATGGGCGCCGCTGGCTAGGAAGACCGGCACGTCGGCTTGTAGGAGAAGATTTCGCAGTTGTCGCCATCCTGGCTCGCTCATAAAGAATCTGAGTGGGCTGGGATTGGGAATAATGGGGGATTCCAGGCATGTACCCATAATTTGCAGCCGCAGTGTTGGTCCTGGAAGAAGTATTTGCTGCTTGAGGGTTATACTGCTGGAAGTGATATTGGTTTTGATGGAAGGTGACTTGAGTGGGCTGTGGTGGTAGGGGTAGAGATGGCGTTGGGGGAGCGTTGGCATAATGAAAAGCTTGCTGTGGTGCCGTCGTCGCTGGTTGATGCTGTATAGGAAGAGTTGGAGGAGGTTGGTTGAATTGTTGTTGCTGAGGTTGCTGGGGTTGCTGAGGCTGTTGCGATTGCTGTGGTTGCTGGGGAGGTTGTGCGCTCGCATTGCTCACCGGGCGAGACGGGTGCCGGAGTCCTTGGCCTTGGAGAGCAATCTGCGCCGCACGAGCCGCCCTGGCAACAAGATCAACTCGCCCAGCACCGCGATCAACAGGAGCTCCCGGAGGACTGAGCTTCACAGAGAATTGAGTCTCAAGAGGCATATTGCGAGGCTCTGGGGGCGGTTGTGGTGGTGGCTGTGATGGGGTTTCTCCGCTGTCTACAGAGGAGGGTCCTTTGCTTGCGTTTTTACACTTATCACCGTCAGTATCTTTGCTTAGGTGCATGGGGTCAAAAGAACGGCAGAGGCATACCTGATTAGTTATAGAATCGAAGTGCTTGCTAATGTATGAGCTTAAATCCCTCAGGAAATCTTCCCATCGGTACCTTTCCGGTAACGTGTTGATTGACTCGGGGTTATCAATATCAGCCAAGAGGATGTCGCGTCGAGACCAGGCCCGTTTTACGAAGTCCGTCTCACTGGGGGCAAGCTGTTTATTACCTGGCCTTCGCGCTAGGAACTTATGTCCAAGGTCGTCGGGAAATAGATTATGAAGCACTTGAAACCTGCTTTGCTCCTTGTCGTTCATAGATGCGATAAACGCCTGTGTTTTCAATTCGAGAAAGAGGGCGCCTTGCCCTTTAAGCAGTCGACTTCCTTCAGGAACAAATATGTCTAGAAAGCGGTCGTGCAGTTCGGAAAAGCCAATCTCCTGTGTTCCAAAGATACTGGAAACAAACGATGCCATATTGGCCTTGCGGATAATGTCGATTTGGCCTGGTTCAGCGAAGCCCAGTTGAGATGCAGATAAAAACGGCCCGTTAGTTGAGAAAACTTTTTTGGCATGGTCAAAAAGTGATCGCATAGAAGAGTAGGCATGTCCGGTTTCCGAGTTAGGCTCAGAAACTATGGACGTGATGTCCTGATAGCTTGATCGAGCTAATAAGGAAAGAATCTGGGTTGCCTTGGGAGAAGGATTAGAGAAGACAGGGATATTGATTCATAAAGTACGTACTAGGTTGTCAAGAATCGGAAGACTTTGGGTTCTCCAGTCAGGGTTTGATTTTACAGCACTTAAACTGGTCGACTTGGTTGCTTCCTGTAGTCTCCTATTCAAAACAGACTGGTTCTCAATTCGTCCTGGCTGGTCCATGATAAACGATATCGTTTCCAAAACGTTCGGATCGGACGGTGCCGGAGCGGCTGCGGCGAGGGGAGCATTGCCCCTGAAAGTATCCTTATTGCTAGTATCTTCTGTTGTAGGATGCCCATTTTGGGGGTAGATGTTGGGCTGTATCGAACTAGACACCGGGAGTGACTGAGCAGGGACATTCAGATCTAAACGGGGATCTGAACCCAAGGAAGCCTGGTTCCCTTCCGCCGAAACTGTGCGGCGTTTCTTGGTGGCAGGAGATGGACCGTCTGGCTCGTCATCATCGCGTGGGTGGGATACTTTCGGCGTTGCTATTTTTCATGCGACAAAGTTAGCAAGAAGTTCAGAATACACCACCATTTATACGGAATTAGGACACTTACTGTTTGCTTCAATTGACGCAGATATGTCAGCTACAGGGGGCTCTTCCTCAACCTTTGCTCCAACAGGCTGAGCCGTTCCTTGCGCGTCCGCCATGATGGTTGGCTGGGATGACAAAGGGGTATGTCCAGGAGAAGAAATGAGGGCTTAGGGATAGGGCGCAGAAATAGGGCTTCGGGTGGAGTGCTGTAGCGCTCAATGGCTATCTCGGATTCAGGCTCTAGTCATGCCGCACTAGATAGAGAAATCACAGGAAAAGGATCGCAGGGTCAGCGAGACAAGAAGAAGCATACGGCACCAAAAAGCTCATCAGCTTCATCACACACAAATCTTTCGATCTTCTTTGCAATTTTCCCGATAGCAGACAGCCGAGCCTTAGTCAGCAAGCACCAAGGCCTAACCTGCTTATGTAACTAGTTAACTCCGGAATGGAACCCCTTTTGAAGCCGGCAACCTTGACTTCATTTGAACCACACCGAGTGTCGAGGGTTCGACGACAACACACTTCATCTCACTGTCATCGACGCTGTGGGTTTCATCAACATGCCTCACATGCCACCCGGACTGGCTGGTATGCCGCATCTAACTTTGCTGGACAGAATGAATTTATTTCTTTCCAGTACGTTCTTCTATGGTGCCAGGCTTGACTGGTTCCTGGTTCCAACTGCCATGGAAAAGGATCTATGCATGGGAACCACATGGGAAATTTCATGCCCCTAAAAAAATATATTTTCAATAAATTGCTGAATGGCACTGCCTTTGCGGATACCACGGATTTTGGTTTTGGAGCCATGGTTTATAGCGGACTGATGTTTCGACGAACCATGGGTGACCTTTTATCATAAACATATTGGTAGTCCTTTCAACGACTACCATGTTGACTCATATCCGGGATATGAGGTCAGAATGTCGAGGTGCTGATGTTCCAGAGGAAGCCGGCGAATACTTAAAGGGTCATCATCCTCGTTTCGTTTTCAATTTCATTTAACTCACCTCTACACACTTTGTCCCCGTATATCTGATCGATTCGAAGGCCACTTACAACCCTTACTCTGCTTCCAGTTATATTGCTATTCAAGATCAACAACTCGCTCTACTACGACAATGGGCTTTGCTACTTTTGCCGTCGCCCTTTCGCTGCAGGCCGCGGCTTCGGTGGCAGCTCGAGAAGGATCCCAAGAGACCCTCTGGGGTGCAGTTGCTTTTACCGCCAGTGGTCTAAGTGCTCCGGGTCTGAACAACGGACCCGCGATGCTGTCACCTTTAGGAGCTCGACAGCTTCACGGGGCAGGGGCTGCGTTTCGGGCTCGCTATATCTCCAACGATTCTAACAAAACCGAGACTCTTACTCGAGTTCATGGCCTTTCGCCAACCACGTTAAACGATAGGGAGATTAGCATTCTTACGACATCGAACCAACCAAATCCCGCTTCGGCCCAAGCATTTATGCAGGGTCTCTACCCACCGCTAGAACTATCGAGAATCGGTGACTCATCTTTCCAATCCTCTTCGGTCGATGATATCGTCGTTGATTTCCCTCTCGGCAATTACCAGTATCCAAACATTATAGCACTTGGACCACACGATCCCGCATCCACGGAACTGGCCGGAAACGTCAACTGCCCGCTATATGACGAAGCTCGGTTGACGCTGCTCAGCGACAAAGATATCCGCGACCTTCAAATTGACGCAGAGGCATTTTACAACGATGTGTACTCTCGTGCTCTCGTTGGAATAATCGATCCCGAAAAACTTCACGTTCTCAACGCACGTCTTATTTGGGAACATCTCAACTACCAATATTCACACAACAAAACCGTCCACAAACTCATTTCTCCAGACGAAATGATGCAAGCACGCTACTTTGCGGACTACATAACTTTCGCCATGAACAGCCGACCTTTCAGTACCGCTGGCCATCAACATACACGATCGGTGGCCGGAAAAACTTTGCTAAACGCCATTGTACGAACTTTGGAGGAAAACGTCAATTCTCGAGGATCCAAGAACAAAATTTCTTTAATGTTGGCGACGTCTCGACGATAGCCGCGCTCAATTCAATTTCTGGTGCCTCTGGTGACGACCAACTTTTTCACGGCATACCAAACCACGGAGCCTCGATGATCATCGAACTTTTTAGCAATATATCAGATGGTTTCCCGGAAAGTACGGACGATTTGAAGGTCAGATTCTTCCTTCGCAATGGAACCAATACGGCGGACCCCAATACCGAATACTTCCCTTATCCGATATTCAACAAGACAGACACATCCTACGACGAATTTATCAGCCAAATTGCCGGTCGATCGATGTCCGCTTCAGAGTGGTGTCGATTCTGTTCCAGTAAAGCAACATTCTGCCCCAGTTTCGAGATTCCGAAACCCGACAGCCAAAACCGAACCAAGAACGATGATCCAGTGATTATTGTGGTGATCACTTTGCTTTCTATAGCATTAATCCTCTGCATGGTTTTCATTGTAACCGATCGAATCAAAACCAAATTGAGAAAACTACAAGAATTAGGAGCACAAGTGTTGAGCGGCATATTAAGAATGTAAGTACCCCTTGATCTTTATTAGTGTTTGTTTGGTGGATTGCCGGTTCTAACAGAGTTCTAGATTGTGTTTATTTTTAGGAGCTCTGTACGGGGATGTGGTCATTGGTTTGCCGTCTATACTATTGCATGTTGATCCATGTAGGTGCAATTGTATCTCTTCCGCTGCTCACAACCCTAATTCTAATATGATATCAGGGTATCTTCTTTTTCGCATGTTAACTTCTTCATGTACTGGTGGATAATATCAGGTATGTGAACTTGGTCTCCTTGGATGACTTGATGCTGACTCTAACATTGTCTCAGACTGTACCTTTTCTCTGCATTTTGTATGGAGTTTGTGGGTGCTGCCTCTCTGTATGTAATAACTATTGAATTCATCAAACGGCGCAAAGCGAGATCTGTCCCTTGAACACATTTTCCGATTGTCATGCATATGATATCAATGAATGGGATGTTTTTTGAATAAGCTACATTAAACTATCAGTGCGGAGGTCCTATTTACGTCTCTAGTTGTGCTTCCCAAATCAATGCCAATCTCATCATGGTGACAAGCTTGGGGGCAATGTTTGCTTTGCTGCCTGTGTTTGCTCTGTTTGACTTCCCAACATCACTTGATGTCGGCAGTTGAACTACAATACTGTAGCAGTATATCATGAGGATAATCTGACTATAGATTATAAAACGAAACAGTATTTCGAGACTACAGCTTTGAGGTCTAGCATGCCATGCTTTCAATGACAAAGGCCAATTGTGGTGCCATCAGTAATACGCGCAGAGAGACCAAGCTGTCTGGGCCATTCAGGCTCAGGATATCCCTTCATGCTATTGTTGACTCTTCCGCCCCGCGCAGGGCAGCAGGAACACGCCTGCACCCCAATGCGGAAGGTCGCCAATCAACACAATGCAGCTTCCACAATAGCTCGCTGTTTCCTTTCTGTGCTTGCCTGCTCGGACCTTCCTCGTTTTGTGTTGTTGTTGCTGGCAATACAAAACAATCCCTTTTCATTCTTTTCTTTCCATCTTCTTCATCCTCAAGTGTCGTGTTGCCTTTGCGAGGAGTCTCGGACGCATTACTACCAGGTGCTTCGATTTTACTGACTGCCCCGTCCTATTCTCAAGTCTCCTTTCTTCAAAATAGCATTATCTGAGCCTTGGTCAACTCTTAGCGGGAACTGATCCATCTTTGTTTCTGCGCTCCCGGCAAAATAGGCCAAGGGACGCTCTCCCACTCCTCTCTCTTTTTCCAGAACCGTAGCTCGAGATCATCTCCGATCAAAGTCGCTGATAATCACTCTCTTGAAACATCCTTAACACTACTTTTACGGGGTGCAAGTGTCAGCCACGGTCACCATAAATGACCAAAGAAATGATGTCGTCGAAAGATCAGGGGACTCCGAAAATAAAGAACCAAGGTATGTCCTCCCATCAGCTCATGTGCAACCCCGCCAGCTAATATATACTATGCTGTAGGCAATCCGCCATTGAAGAAGGAAAACCAACCTTCTACATCTAATAAAGCCACCAGTATTTCTAACGCTAACTCCCAACCGAAAGAAAATGGATCACCAGTCCAATCCCTTGATTTGAAAAAGATGGTTCGAACTAATTTGTCAAGACAAACGGTGAAAGGGCAGAGATATGACATCCCAACCCTTCTTCATATCGGGCGTCAACTAGAATCAACAACTCTCCAAGCGTCAAACTTGGACGGCGCCGGATTTTATGGTATGTACGATCAAAGGATAGTACCTAGCCCAACTTTAAGCTTATCATACTGACGCGTGCCTAGAACCTTCAGCATCAAGACGCAATACTAGTATAGGAAGTCGTGTTCTTAAAGAAAAGTCGATGAACCATCAACGAAACTCTTCCACCATGTCTGCCACGACCGATGATGGTCGTGAGGTTGTTCGGTACCCTCGGCGACAGCCAGTGAATGCTCCTCAAGGGACACTGGCGCAAAGTCACGCAGGTTTTGCAAGATTTCTAAAGGAACATTCGTCGCCTAAGCATCATAGAGTTACCGCTGGTGGGCGGATTGTCCCCATGAATTTCCAATTTCCGGCACCAGAGTTCAGGCTTCCAATGGCTACAACCGATCCAGCAAGCTGTACCAAGAATGAGGCGTCTCCAAAAGGATTACAAGCACCAAACCATACTACAACCCCAGAAGTAAAACCTCCTGTACGACAGCGAAAACCGTCTAACCCACCGCATAGCAGGGGCCATACCTATCAAAGCGCCACCAGCTAGCCCGGAAAAGGCGCATGGTGCATCTAACTCGAAGACTGTTGGGGCCCAGGAACCAACTGTGAACCCCAAAACACTCCCTGTAAGTGGCACTAAGACCGGAAATCAGCAGATGAGGGCTCCATCTACTTTTAGCGCAGGCCAACCACTAAAGCTGGGCCCCATGTCATTTGACGGGATCTCCATTCCCCAAGTTGGAGATCACGAGCAATTTGAATTATTCTCATCAAATCCCCAGCTATATGCCTCACAGGTCTTCGGGTCCCAGTTATTCCCTGAGGGTATGCAGCAACCGGTTCAGATACCTTACGTTCCTCAGATTGGCAATATGCTTGGGGCATACCAATTGGGATCCTCCTTTCCTCTCGGGGCACAATCACAGTTCATCCCTGCAAATAATAATATTGGGATCAATCCGTATATTACCTACCCGGCGGCTTCGATCGGAATTGGAAATGGACACGACTCAGGGGCGCGAAGTTTGCTTGAATCGGCAATCCAGGAATTCGATAACATTTCCAACCAACTTTCAAATTTAGACAGATATCTCGCATTGCATACCTGGGATATTGATCCCGCAACTAAGAAACTTCTTGTGGAGCAGCGTATTGAGCTGGTCCGCAAGTTGGATTCAACCAGAGTCTATAAAGAGCACTTGGAAACTCTTTTGCAGTCTTCGAAGTTCGAAGGGGTGGGACTCGGCCAATTTTCTGACCAGGCTTTCATGGGAAATTCAAGCCAAATTGCCCAACTTTCCCTTCCAAATGCGTACGGCGCTTTTCAATCAGCAAACAATAATTCCGCATTCCTCCAAGCTGGTGGCTTTCTGCAGTCGACACTAAATCCCGCAACAGGAATTGTAGCGGGAACGGGCTTCGTATCCGCCGAATCTCTTGGTCCGGTGCTTGCTGGACGGCAAATGAGTGGGACTCAATACGGGCAACTAGATGCCTTCAACTCCTCCTATGATAATCTTCAGATTCCAGCAGATCTAAATCAAGCTATTACTGCGGCTCAAAATTGGGGGACGAATGCAGATTTTGCGATGAGCAATTATTTGAACTCTCAAAATGCTTCTTCCAAACCCGTTCCATCAGCTACTGGCAAATCTAGGGCTGAAATGAAACGTGCTGATAGAACTTCACCTGTGCCCTCCTTCGACATTGACGCAGTTTATCTTAGGATTGAAGAAGCTGCAAAACGCAAGGAACCACTCGAACCTTACTTTAAGGAACTCGCAAGGTGTACTGCAATGATTAATGCAACCAACCTCAACGGAGGCTCTTCGCAGTCAACCGATAATCCTTGGAATTCAAACTGTCTGAGCAAGGGCAGAGCACCAAACTCCTGTGCTATGACAGGAGCTAGATTAGGGACGGCGATACTAAAGGAAAATTCACAGTATGTCTCCTGCCTAGTGGCTTAGCCGGCACTAACCTTAGATCGTAGGCAAATTCCGGGAGTGCTAGGCAATTCTAGTTGCAATGGGAAAAGTGCTGTTAAGTCGAGTAGTCCTCAAAAGAAACCAAGTAATGAAGGACAGGTCCCAAAGTAAGTAACCGTGCGGAAAGCATCGTGTTCTCACTTGAGGGTTCTGACCTAAAATAGTTTGCGTTCCAGTCCGTTATCAGGCCGTCAAACAAGGGGCTGCACCTGTACGAAGAAACGAGAACAGTCGAGCAACAGCAGTGGAGCAGGACACATTGACGCTCAGCCCTCCACGTTAGTTGGGCCTTCCCTAAACAGCTCGATTGCTATAGCTTCAAAAGTTCCACAAAGTAGCTCAAACCCTCGGAGGGTCGGATCGGCGACCTCGGTGCAAATTAATTCTATGGGGATTCTTCCCCCTTTTGATGGCACTGGTGATTCAGCTGGTCCAAGTTCGAAACCCACGACGGCGACTACAAATGTCACTTCAGATGGCACACTGGTCAAGGCAAATGGCCAGAAAGATACAGCCAGTGGCAGAAAAACCTCATGGTTTCGACGGCAGACCCGCAGAGATCCTAATCCGATGGACGTTCGCACATTCTTCCAACTGCTTCGCGACGAAGATAGGGAAGCAATCCGGAAGCAGGACATTGACCACCCGCCATTCTGACGAATGATTGCTAGCGCTGCAGTGCTTTTAGGGTTTGAATCTACTGACCACAGGTTTATGACGTTTGCATGCATTGTGCCTCGTTTAAGTTTGTTGGAATATATCGATTTACTGACGGGTCAGCAATTGCGAAGTGTGATGTGTTGCATAGCTCTTGAATGGCTTACGATGGGATTTTCTGAAGCTGACAAAAGGGAGGCTGACAACATTCAGGGTGTAGTTATGTGGGAGCTGTGTCTGCACAACCGTTTGCCTTTATTGCTCTTTTTTAAACCAGTAGCGCTATAGCAATGCAGAGATATCTTGGGGTTTCGCCCAATGCACACTTTTCGACATAGCTCACAATACGGTGCTGCTCGTTTCTTCGCGGAGTGTTAAAAGTCTGGGTATTTTGGCGGATACGAAGGGGGGAGCGGAACCCAAGGTTACACTACATCCTCGTGGGTGCAGCTGGTGGTGTCGGAAGAGTTGAAATCCGGGGCTGGGAGGATCGGTACTCTGCAGCTTCGGCTAAAACGAGTGGCTGGATGTCTTCATTGGAGACAGGACGGTTGGATTCTCAACAACCCGTGTTTTACTTGCACTGTGTTGTTCGGGTTTGATAACCCACTACAGCGGATGGCTACGTCAGGGCGATGTTGAGGTCTACGGGCCCCCTTTCCTCCCTTTGGGATCGGGGCAAGTATAAATGAGAGAGCGCCAGCCCACATTCAGCCATTCAATGAGGACCTCACGATCCGCCCCGCCATCACGCAACCGCAGCTTATCCATCGTGTTGATATCAGAACCACGTGAACCTTGTCAAGTCAATCGATATGCGCGGCTGGTCCATCCTCCCCATCGTCACGGCCATGCTAGCCGGCCCGATGTCGGTTTTTGCGGTCCCGGCGCCAGCGCCAGGGCTAGTGCCGGCGGAACTGGAGGTGCGCCAAACGGATTGTAACTGGGCGTGTTTGCGGGATGTGACGACGTGCGGACCTGGGCATGTGAGGGGGTTCCCTTGGTTATTTTCTTTTTCTCCTTCTCGGGGGGGATTTTTCCTTTTTGATGGCTGACAATTTGGATTTTTTTTCGCAGTGTATCCGATTGCGGTCGCCGGATCTAGAGGTAATGAATCAAGACTGCCTAGCTTTCTTTCTCGCCTGTGTGGTGGGGGATCGATTTGCCTGTTGTTCGGATGGCTAACTAGTTAATCGTTCTCTGGTACTGTAGAACCCGTGTTTTGTGTGCTGCGTCGATACTCGACCGAACCCGCCGAACAAGGCGTGCTTTAGTTAAGACTCGATGGGAGGAGTTGATATCGCTGGAAGGAACCTTGAGGCTTGAGGGCATCTGGACCCGCGCTAAGATAGGGACAGGTCACATGATTGCTTATTAATGCAAGGTGTGTGAAATGACGTCACTGCAGAGTCCAGACGGCGGCCGTTGTTTCTCGTGTAGCGTCGGAGTGTTAGCTACATGAGTATGTATGGAGTATGGAATATACTATTCATCATAATTGCTCCAGACTCTTACTTTCATGCCTTCAATCGCGTTGCTCCGTGTTGACTCCATCAGATAGCCGCGGTGCTGACTAACACACTGGGAGCCCATGGCCCAAAAGGGAAAGTATACTCGCTCCCCACCCTTCTTGGCGATCGGCGCGAGGCCAATTGAGCTGCTCGTCCGCCACCCGACTTTTCTTCACCCGGGATCGCCCAGCCCGGAAGGGAAAAGAAAAGGAAAAAGACGATTCACAGAGGAGAAAAAAGGGAATGTGCTGACGCCTGTTGACTAAGAATCTCGGTTCTGAAGGGGGAAACTCCCGTCGCAGGCTGCGGGACCGAGGGATGCGCGAACCTTGTTCACGGTGATAAATCATCATGATGCAAGCCCGGGATGCAGGGCCACTCGCGGTTTGGCCGCCCATCGAAATTATAAAATAAAAAAAAAAAGGTTGTGCGCCGACCCTGCTTGCCCACCGTTTTCTCCGCTCTGCTCCAGACCAGCGACAAGAACTCGGTATAAAAATTTTGTCTTATCTTTCCGCCCCGGCCCCGCTGTTTAAAAAGAGAAGCCATATCCGCCTCCGGTCCCGATGTTGTCTTGTTGACATGGTTCATTCCGCCGACACTATTAATGCTGCTATTTCTATGGAGGAGGATACTATGAAGAGCCTTTGTGACACTTTTCTTCCCAGCTGATAGATAACTACACCAGTGGGCTCTTTCTAAGCAAAAGTTCCTCTGTGTCTGCTCTTTCACAAGTACATACATACTTACATACCTGCGGAACCATCCCCGGACTCACCGTTCAACCATGACATCCATGCCTTCGCCTGTACTCGGGCAGGATGCTTGGCCAGCAGATCGCGAAGACATCCGGTCCCAGGCCCAGGAGGGAGGCCATGGACAGGAGCAAGCGCCAGGCACGGATAGCCCCAAGCAGCCACCCTCCGACCCCTACTACAGCGAAATGGACATTGAGAAGCTGGGTCGAGCTCGCCCCGAAGCATTCAGCAATGCCTGGTCGGAGGTGGCGTTTTGCTTTTCCATCGTCATGTCGCAAGTTCTTGCAGTGAGTTACGCCCGGTGCGGGAATGTGTTGATCTTCTTCTTGTTTTTTTTTACTAACAGTGTGTCGTGGTAGGAATACTTCATTTCGGGATTCAATGTCATTATCCCCACCCTGGTCGAGGAGTTCGATATACCCGACGCGATGGCCGTGTGGCCCGCCAGTGCGTTCTCGTTGGTAATTGCTTCTGTCTTGCTGTTCTTTGGTCGCCTGGGTGACATGATTGGCGGTTTCCCGGTCTATGTGGGCGGCATGGCTTGGTTGTGCGTCTGGTCTCTGATCGCCGGATTCTCGAAGAACCGCTTGATGCTCATCTTCTGTCGAGCACTGCAAGGGTTGGGCCCTGCGGCGTATCTTCCAACGAGCCTGATGCTGCTGGCCAACGTCTACCGGCCGGGGCCACGGAAGAACTTGGTATTCAGCATCTACGGAACCTGCGCGGTCATCGGGATTCTTCGCAGGTATCTTCTTCTCGGGGATTTGCGCTGAGTATCTGACCTGGTCGTGGTACTTCTGGATCGGAGCCATCCTCGTTGCCATCACGACGGCAACGTCGTATACCTTCATTCCGTCGGATTCCGCAAGAAGACGACAGCAGGGAGTCAAGATGGATTACTGGGGCGCTGCGCTGATCATCCCCGGTCTGGTCCTGACCGTCTTCGCTATCACTGACAGTGCACATGCGGCTAACGGGTGGAAGACGCCGTACATTTATGTCTGCTTCATCCTGGGTTTCCTGTTCCTTGGAGCCGCGCTTTACGTGGAAGGTTGGGTTGCCGACCATCCACTGCTTCCTTTTGACCTGTTCAAGGTGCCACACATGACGCCATTGGTCATCATGCTTCTCTTTTTTTATGGCTCCTTTGGTGTGTTCTTGCTCTATGGGACATTATAGTAAGTTGATTTTCCTTACCTCCTTGTGTAATATAGCGCTGTATGCTCACTGACATGTTCAGCATGGTCCATATCATGGGAGCATCCCCTATGCAGGTGGTCGCATGGTGCATTCCCATGGTCGTGGGCGGATTCATCTTCCCCCTTGCCGTTGGAATTTTCCTCCATCTCGTCTCAGGAACCGTCCTCCTCGCCTTCTCCACCCTGGCCTGGATCGGCTCCGGCCTGCTTTTCGCGCTCATGCCCGTTGGCGCATCGTACTGGGCCTTTGCGTTTCCCGCCATGATCTGCGCCACCATGGGGATCGATGTGACCTTCAACATCACCAACATTTTCATCACGACGAAGCAGCCCAGCGATCGGCAGGGCCTGGCGGGAGCGCTGATCAACTCGGTGCTGCACCTGAGCATTGCGTTCTTCCTTGGCTTCGCGGACCTTGCGCAGGTGGAGACGGACTATCTGGGCCGGAGGAAAAGTTACCAGGTGGTGTTCTGGTACCAGGTTGGGTGCTCGGTGGTGGCGTTTGCGATCATGGTGCTGTTGGTGCGTGTGTCGCGGGCAAAGAGCGAGTTGACGATGGATGAACGGCGGCAGCTGGAGATGGAGCAGCGGTCATCGGGCTGAGCTGAAAAGCAATGCGCTCTGTGTGACGTGTGACGTGCGATGAATTCTGATGTTTACTCCTTTTTTTTTTTTTTGGCGAGATGATAGATCTATTTACAATAATGGGCTTGGGATAATAGACGAAATCTACAGAGTGATAGCAACTTATATAACATCCTGCAAATTGAGGTAAGACCCCTCTTAGCGCCCGGTCGGGGGTGGTGCTCTCCTCCTCTAGATATCTACGCCTAGGAATAGGCATTGTAATTATCTAGACTAGATGGATAGAAAATAAAAACAATACCAACGCTGGAAGAAGAACCCCTCTTGTGCCCCTGTCATCGAAAAACAGCCGGGCGTTCCCAAGGGCCGGTTTGGCTCGCAGGCTAAAATGCAGCGAGGGCCTAGAATATCTCGGTTACATTGCCCTGGGTTCGAGAACCGTGGTGCAGGCGAGGCTGTTCCATCCGCCGTCCTCCACAGCGGCGGAAACCAGTGCGAATGGCGTGTGGCGATGGGCGTTGGGGATGGTTCAGGCAGTGAAACCACTTCAGCCTTTCTGAATCGAAGGCGTCTTTTTTATCCCCTGGATCAGTTGTTTCTCTGGAGTCTTTTTTTCTGTGGGGTGAATGCCGGGTGAGATACACACGCGGTACTTTGCGTCTGGTGACGAGTTGTATGGAGCAGCAAGTCCCGCCCCTGTTCCACTTCCGAAGGGGGGGAAGAAAGAAACCAACCCGCCAATACCGTAATTACCGGCCTGGCCGGGCACGCGCGGCCGTAAGAATGGTACTGCAGGCGTAATCGGGGGTTGGATTGTTCACTGTCATCCACTTTCTGGGCCCCCAAAAGCCAACTTCCAGCGAAACTTCAACTTCATCGAAACATCGACGGTTTGTCTATTCGAAACCGCCAACTCCGTGCAACTTCTCTGCTCTATTCCTCCTCCTCTTGTCTCCCGTTGCGACGACACCGCCAATGCTCCAAGTCGACCGTCGTTCTTTGTGCTAGGCCTCCCCCGACTGCGTGCTCTCCGCAACGAACACCAATGGCTGGCACTTTTTTCCAACTCGAGACCCTTGGACGACGCTCCGCTTAGTTGGCTCAACAGTGCACGCCGAGAAGAACACCAGTTATTGCACAGGGAACCTCCATAGAGAGACTATCGCCCGCTGGCAACTTCGCTCCTACACACTTGCTCAACTGCACCTGCACCTGCTAGCCACCAAGGCCGGTTCGGCAGACCAGGTACCATTTCGGCCAAGAGACCGTCGTGGGAAGGATATCGTTTCATTTCGCCAGTTTCATGTCCGGTTAAACCATCCCCCTGCTTGAAGATTTTTGTTCTCCCCCGTTTTATTGACGATCTCTACCGCGGTGCTGTCTCGATCTCGACCTGCTCCGTGACCGCAACTATGACACAGCTATTCAGCTCCTCCGGCTCGCCCGCCGTTGGGTCAGAAAAGCGCCAATTCCCCGGCCTCTCCCTCCCTAGCAGGAAACACTCGGGCGATTCATCTCACTTCCCAACACGATTGAAAAACTTCTTCCGCATCAACAGCTCCTCGTCGAATAACAATTCCTCGAACCCCAGCAACTCTCATACCTCCAACCCCGCCACGAAGCCAGAGGGTAAATCTACGTTCCGACAATCTCGATTCCTCCCTACGATTGGTCGCAATCGATCGACCACAGTTGCTAGTGAAGGCAACCCGCTTGACGATGGAGCCTCGCCGATCGCGGATGCGAACCCGTACTTCCACCACCAGGGCTACCCCGCGTTAAGACATCGGAATGACGATAGCGTTTCCTCATCGTCCCCGGATACTCCGGAGTTACAGGTTGATGGTGTGCCGGCTTCGGACCAGGCGACTGCGGCAGGAAAAGAAGAGTTGGCTCGGAAGTTGAGAAGAGTGGCGTCAGCACCCAATGCGCAGGGGTTGTTCACCGGCGATGGTGCGCACGACCGGCCCAAGACAGCAGAGCTGGGGAAGGAGCCGTTGCTTGCGTCTGGAGGTCCTTCGCCGAAGTTGAGTTTTGTCGACAAGTCCGATCCTAATGTAACTTCTGTGACGGACGTGGACCGGGCTTCGGCTCTCTCTGTGCCCCGAAGTTTTGTCAACTACAGGCGGACGTATAGCTCGAATTCGATTAAAGTGCGCAACGTGGAAGTTGGCCCCGGAAGCTTTGATAAGATTAAACTGATTGGAAAGGGAGACGTCGGTAAGGTGTACCTGGTTCGTGAGAAGAAATCCAACAGGCTATACGCCATGAAAGGTGGGTGATGCCCCAATTACAATGCGTCCGCCTATTCCTAATGTCTCGTCTCTAGTCCTGAGCAAGAAAGAGATGATAAAGCGGAATAAGATCAAGCGAGCCTTGGCGGAACAAGAGATTCTTGCGACAAGCAACCATCCATTTATCGTTACGCTGTACCACTCGTTCCAGTCCGAAGAGCATCTTTATCTCTGTATGGAGTATTGCAGTGGTGGCGAATTCTTCAGGGGTATGCAGCACCAGCGTGACTAGGACATAGCGCTCTGCTAATGTGACACAGCTCTCCAAACAAGGCCGGGGAAATGTATTCCGGAGGACGATGCTCGTTTTTATGCCGCCGAAGTGACAGCTGCACTGGAATATCTTCATTTGATGGGTTTCATATACCGGGATCTCAAGCCAGAGAGTACGTCGAGCATGGCAATCTGTGCTTCGAACCAATCTGACTTTTTATAGATATCCTTCTACATCAATCAGGACATATCATGTTGTCTGATTTCGATCTCTCCAAGCAATCGGGCCCTGGTGGCGCCCCGACTATGATTGTTGGTCGCAACGGAACTTCCTCGTCGTCGCTACCTACGATTGATACCAAGTCGTGTATTGCCAATTTTAGAACAAACTCCTTTGTCGGAACAGAAGAATACATCGCCCCTGAGGTAATCAAAGGCGATGGCCACACCAGTGCTGTTGATTGGTGGACGTTGGGTATTTTGATATATGAGATGTTGTACGGCACCACGCCGTTCAAGGGTAAGAATAGAAACGCCACGTTTGCCAATATTCTGAGAGACGAAGTGCCGTTTCCTGACCCTGCCGGATCTCAGCAAATCTCCAAGTGAGTGAATAGTCTCGAATATTCCTTCTAGTTGTAACCCGCTGACGTTCGTCTTTAGCCTCTGCAAATCTCTCATCCGGAAGCTTCTGATCAAGGACGAAATAAAGAGACTCGGCGCCCGCGCCGGTGCATCTGATGTCAAGACACATCCTTTCTTCCGCTCGACACAATGGGCGCTTATCCGACACATGAAGCCGCCCATGGTCCCACACCAAGGCCGCGCAATTGATACTGTCAATTTCCGTAACATGAAGGAAAGTGCTAGCGTTGATATTGGCGGCGTCAACCATCTCAAAGGTGTACCGATGGATTCTGGCCTCGCGACACCCGGAGAACAACTACCCGACCCCTTTGAGGATTTCAACAGCATTACGCTCCACCATGACGGCGACTATCAAGGTGAGTTGGCCGATGATAGCTTACGTGGATATAGAAAATGATTGGCATTGCCATGCTCACTTCCTTTTTATATCTCTTGCTCTACTATTCGCTTTGATCTCTGCTCCTCTTGGATGCTGTACTGTATCTATTCATCACAGGTGTTTTCGGAGCATGGTTCGATCCTGTTTTGCTTGCTATTTTCAGCTGAGTATGGGCTACCGTGTGCTTGTTCCTTGGTCGCTTTTTTATTTCCGGACGTCTCTGATCATACCGCCTTTCCTCTGATTACTACAAATTGCAAAATTTGGTGTTCTACGCGTTACGGTTGATTTCCATTGGATGTGTGTGATTTTGCTCAATTTTTCTGGGACTGTTCCTTTTTTTTTTGCTGACTTGATGCTTCCTCATGTGTTCTGCTTTTGCCCCTTGTATTGGTGAAGGGGTGATTCATCCGAATTTCTTGTCAGTCTCTTTTCTGGTCTGGAGGCATATTTTTCTTTTTAACTTTACTACCGGATGTCCTACTTAGCTGTGCATGTCAGAGGCATGTCGAACCTTGACACTTTTGCGTCTCTTTTCCAATATCAAACAGGGTCCATGTTTAATATGCGAAAGAAGGGAAAAGAAAAATAGAAAAAAAAAGACGAAGAAGCCTGAGAGAGAATTGATTGAAGTCATTTCTCCGGTTTTTAGACGGAGAAACATGGGCAAAAGATTTTCTTTTCGTCAAGCAGTTTCTTTCTGTGTCGGTAGAGTAAAAATACATTTTATTTGCTCTCGAGTGCTTTATCAAAAGGGAGGAAAATTCGGTTCTATCCAGAAAAGATGTGTGTATACATGACACGGAAACAAGAGCGTGCGCCACAGATTTTTCGAATGGTTTATATGGTACAGCTTCAACCTACAGGGCTATCAACTCGCTCTTTGGCCACCCCCTGGAAATGCAACAGTCGAGGGGGAAAAAAAACCGATCAAGCATTCCTGCGTATCTCTTCGGCTTCCCTATGCATGCAACCCCCCTTTTGCACAAAACTCCCCCACGCTCCGTAGAAGGGAAGGAATATAATCCCCATAACACTATACATTGCCCGCGTAATAAACCTTTCGCACATCGACTAATTTCTTGCCTCGGGCGCGAGCAATGTCTTCAGGGTTTTTCTGGCTGCGCAGCGCCTCGAACGCCGCCTTGACGGTGTTCATGGGGTTGCGGGAGCGGTGTACTCGCGCCGCGAGGTCGTGGATGCCTGCGACGCGACACATTTCCCAGATGTTATGTTGGCAGCGGAGACCGAAGCCTATGTTGGTGAAATATATTGTCAGTGCACTATTTCTGTTTTTGTCTTCTTTTTTTTTTTGTTTGAAAATAAGGCTGGACAAAAAGAAGGGGAGGGGGATTTACCTGGAGGCCTGTGCATGAGAGTTAACTCGACTGCGCCTACTTTGCCCTTGACGTCTCCGAAGATGGTTCGATTCTCGTAGCGTAAAATGGGTTGCATGTTGCGGATCGCACGGTATTGGGACTGAGCCCTGGCTTCCGCCCATTCCTCCGATTTGCCCTCACCGATACCCAGCAGGCCCTTCCCGTTACCCGCTACCGATAAAACGTAGGCCTTGCGAATCTTGCCCAGACGGGTCTGGTTGACGACGCTGTGCGCCACGAGGGATTTGACCTTGAGGCCCTTGATTTCCTGGTGAGAATAGCCAGTAACCATCATCAGCTGCTTCAAGCCGGGATCCAGGTCGCTCTCGGCATCTTGTTCTTTCGTTCTGGGCCGGCGTTCACCGATATGGTTAAGATTCTCGTCGGGATCGAAGATGTCGGGAACGACGGAATCGTGGGGATCAAGTTCGGCTTCTGGCTTGCCTACGGTAAATCGCATATTGTCTAGGAAACGGAGGAAGTCGCCTGGCGTTGCGTCTTCCGGCAAGTTCATAACGTAATCCGTAAATTCGCCCATGAGTTCATCTTGGGTCTTTAGACGGGAGTTATAGTCGTAATTCGTCAGCGGAGCACGCTTGTGGTGGTCAACGACGGGCTCAATGGTGGAGAAGTCATCGAGATATTCTAGCGCCCAGGGGCCCTCGCGTATTCTGGCTTGTGCCGCCAGATCTTTGGGGTCGAGGCTTGCTTCACCGGCTTTTATGGCAGCAATCTGCTTTGCAGTGTACTCCTCCGACAATCGGGAACTCTCTTCTTTCGTGTATGGTATGATATCATCCACTGTGAGGTTCTTGAACTCCTTCTTCGGAAGTTCAAGCTGTCGTTCCAGTTCCTCTTGTTCGTTTCGGAGTTGGATTATGTCCTTGGGCTTTGATCTGACTTCGACCTCAGGGCGCGGATCGGATTGATTGAGAGCTTTCGGCACCTCTGGGGCTTCGAGCCGTCGGCCATCGTCGCCAGAGTCGTTATATGGTATGGGAGACGGGTGGAACTGGCGTCGGGGAATGCGAGATAGTGCCGGAGTGATGGCCGTTCTCGAGAAGGAGCAGAAAAGACAGCGTGTTGCGGGTTTTAGCACACTCATTTTGACGGATGTCGTCGCGGGCCTGGGGCAATTGGCCGTGGCACCGTGTTCTGCTGAACGTCCTTTTGATGTCGAATTTGAGAGTTTTTGGGATTTGAAGCTTTGCCCGGGAGAACGTTTCGCCGAACACGCCCGAAAATGCGATTTTGCGCGGCGCAAAAAAGGTCAGCTTCTGGAATTATCAAGACCTATTAATTGTGTTGCCCATGGGAAGACCATAGCCAGGGCGCACGGAGACGAAGACGCTGTTTGTGCCCTTTGGTCGATGTCCCGTGTTTTCCTCAAGCAGTTCATCTGCTCCGCGCGAAATCTCGTTCGACCATCAATCTCCGCTTGCTCGACACCGCATTTGTACCGCCACTACATCACTCAGCCACATAATAGCCCATCGAAATCCCGGTTCGCAATGGAGCACAGTTCGCGGGGGGCCGCCAGGGCCCGTGGACACGATTCGCGCAAGAGGAAGCGAGACAGCGAGAAGGACAGTCCTCCTGAAGCTGATGTGCTTTTGACCGATGTCAAAAGCCTCCTTCAAAGAAACAAAAGTGAAGCAGGTGTTGCTGAACAAGAACGGCCGCCCACCGTTACCCATACAGGCAAAGATGACACTTTCCCTGAAATTAAGGTTACGATATCCGAGCTCTCCTCCACCGGAGACGGTCTTGCCCTCTCGCCGGCGGGCGACCATGTCTACTCGATTCCTTTCACAGTTCCGGGCGATACGGTCAGAATAAGGGTGTTCAAGACCATGCGGAAAGAATCATACAGTCTTGCGGATCTCATTGAAGTTACCAAGCCTTCTCCGCAACGGGACGACTCCTTGATAAACTGCCAGTATTTCGCAAAGTGTGGAGGATGTCAGTTTCAGATGTTGCCTTATGAAGACCAACTCAAGCATAAGAAACGGATTATTGAGAAGGCTTATAGCAATTTCTCGGGATTGAACCCGGAGCAGGTGCCCGCGATAAAAGAGACAATGGGCTCGCCATTGCAATATGGATACAGGACGAAATTGACTCCTCACTTTTCGCTTCCTTTTAGCCGGAAAAAGGGTCCTCAGAAGTTGACTGAAGTCCCCAATATTGGATTTATGATGAAGGGGCGACGGACAGTTATGGACATTGAAGATTGCCCCTTGGGTACCGACATTGTTAGGACAGGACTGAAGAACGAGAGAAAAAGGGTCGTGGATAACTTGAACCAATTCAAAGCCGGTGCGACCCTCTTAGTTCGAGAAAATACAAAAAGGATACCCAAGAATAAAGAGGAAGAAGACACCTCCGGGAACGATACCACCCGCGACGTCATTCGCACAGAGTATCCCGATTACATCGAAGAAAAGAGCTACATTACGGACCAAAAGGGAATATCGTCGGAATACATCGACGACTATCTTTTCCGTAATGTAGCTGGAACCTTTTTCCAAAATAACAACTCCATCCTCTCCCCCTTCACCCAATACGTACGCGACCAGGCACTCTCACAGTCAAACAACTCCGACTCATCCAGTCCCAAACTAAAATACCTCCTTGACGCCTATTGCGGCTCCGGCCTCTTCACCATCACCCTCTCCACCGTTTTCCGCTCCTCGCTCGGGGTCGATGTCTCAACAGGATCCATCGAATCAGCCCGCGAAAATGCCCGTCTGAACAACCTGAAAAACACCGGGTTTGCCGCCGCGGACGCCGCAAAGCTGTTTGGGGACGTGCCGTATCCGCCTGATCAGACGTTGCTTGTCATTGACCCGCCGCGAAAGGGGTGCGATATGAATTTCCTGAGGCAGTTGCTGGCGTTTGGGCCAGCGCGAGTGGTGTATGTGAGCTGTAATGTGCATACGCAGGCGAGGGATGTGGGTGTGATGGTTCGGGGAGATGTGGGTAAGGGCAACGTTAGATATGAGATTGAGAGTATCAAGGGCTTTGATTTCTTCCCGCAGACGGGCCATGTGGAGAGTGTGGCGGTTTTGAATAAGGTGCTCGAAAGTGAGTGAATGGGGTTGGTTGTTGAAAAGCTATCATGTATAGTACTCTAGAAACGTAAATATAGCGTAAAGCTACCAGTATGGATTTGATTGAATGTTCTTTGCGAGAATTGCAAGTCGCTTGGACCAATTTTAGATAGAGACATGCTATTCGTAGTATGACACGGAATGGACGTATATTGCAACGCGATCTAAGTACTTCCAGGTCCTCCAAGCAAAGCGAATCTTCGCACAATGGACGGGCCAATCTCGTCATACTCGGCCTACATAGACGAGTCAGTCCAGCTAGAAATGTAATGAGGAAGTCATAGTGACTTACCTTGGTGTGGCAGTAGCTGCGGAATTCAGGTGTTTGGCCAAGCAAACTGCCGCCAAACCAGGGTCCATGACGCTGTCTCTTGTGAGTAATGACTTGCACGTCCAATCCACCACTCTTAGCTCCGCCGCTTCGAGCTTCTGAAGCACGAATACGAGCATCGACCAAATGTCTGATATCACGCTGCAATCGGCGGCCAAAGTCTTTATACAAGGTTGATCCTCCAGACAAAACGATATTCTTATATAGCCCTCGTCTTACATCAATGGGAGAGGACTGGATAACACCGTCGACGACGTTGGGAAGTGGGGTTAGGAAATCTGACGAATAAATCTCGGGGTTGAAGAAGATTTCTGGCGCAAGGAATCGTTCGTAGCCAATGTCGATGGTGACAGTTCTCCCGTTTGGAGATGTGACGGTATGTTTCAAAAATCGATCTGGTTCCCTATCGTAGCGCGCGAATTCTTTGACGATATCCGGCGAGACGTAACAGTACTCTTCCTTGACTCTCTCTGCGGTCTTCATTGCGCTGTCCGGTTCTCCTCTTCCACGTAGGAGATTTTGAACAAAGTACGTGATGTCCCTACCTGCAATTGGAATACTCTTGATGGACGACCCAATGACGTATCCCTCTGCCACTGGAATAACGTGAGTAACGCCATCACCAGAGTCGATGACTGTGCCTGTCAAAGACCTGTCTGTTACTTTGGATGATGTCCACGACGCAGCAAGAGCCAACACCGCCTGCACGGCAATGTACAATCCAGCACAGTTGAACGATTCAAAGAAGATTTCAGCCGTGTTCTCTCGGTTCTCTGGGGGGTTCAATGGCTATAAACCGTTAGCAACCAGGCCGTACTAGCATAGCAAAAACCGAGCCTGACATACTGGTTCCGTCAGGAGAAAGTAGTGATCCTCCGGTTCCACTCTCAGGTATTTGAAGATGGAGTTCGACCAGAATCGCTCCATGTGATCCCAGTTCTCGATTTGACCGTGACGAATAGGATAATGAAGCCCATATCCGGGCCCGGAGCTTGCACCGAGTGCCTCATCGCCAATGAAGTAATCCAGGTCTTCTGTGCCCCTCTTTGCCGACAACGATGAACTTGGCCCCGCGCCTCCAGTCAGGAAGGATGGTTTATTCGCAACTTGCGGTCTTCCCGCACCTGTTCCCCCACTGGGCCCACCACTGGCTTTTGTGGCAATCGCCGTTGGAAAGACGAAGGAGGGAGAATCATTTCCCGCGAAACCTTGGGTATGGATGGTTAGCCAGGCCGGGATCAAGCGTTGTGCACGATGCTTTACACACCAAGTTTCGAGTATCCGGTGCCGCTAGAAATTGAATAGTGTTAGCTCAAGGGGCGCGGAAGCAGGTTAAAGATAGTATTATCGTACTTGTCCATGACAACGGCGGGTGTTTGCGACGCCATCGTTGCGGATATGTGATGGTGGTGGCCTAAGCGGCTGGCGCTGAACGAGTATTATTAGGCTGCTGGAACGGCGCTTGTCAATGGCGAGAATGGTGCTACTAACTCAAATCAAAGTCGGAATGTAAGCTCAATTGAAGAGTTGAGGTTCACTCAAGTCGACCTGCAGGCAGAGGTGCTGGGGAAGCGGCACACTGGTGGTTGAAGCATCGAAGCATCCGCGTCATTTGGCTTGGGCCCATGTGGGATCGCGCCAAGACACACCTGGACTGTATGTGCACCAACTCGAATCTGATAGTTAATGGTTTGCTGCTTGCTTACGGTAGTTACGGCTAACTAGCAATACTACGTATAAACTCCCGTGGAAAAGAGGGCGTGAGTCGTTGGTCCTTTCTTTTGTGCGGCCGAAATCACTTCCAGGAAAAAGACATCCCCGCCGCGGATTCGAACCGCAAGCCTCGTTTGCGACTATCGCAGTCTGGCCCGCGAACCTCAACGCAGCGTCGGCAAAAAAACTTGGAGCTTCTCTTTGATTGAGCGTGTCATCCTTAGTGCAGGGGCCATGCTAATCTTCTCTGTATCGTTTCAATAAGACCAAATGCCCGAAGGCAACAGTAGAACCTAATGATGGTCTATATAGGGCGTTTGGCGAGGACTCAAATTACATAAGCAGTCAAGTTGGTGGTCATTCATCATTCATCAACATTGAAACGGCCTGCCTGGCTGCTGGGTAAAGGCGACCTGAAATTGTGGATATTTTACGGGTCAACGGGAAGCACAGTTGTGTTGACTCTGTGGTGATTGGGGGAAAGGGTTGGATGCTTGTGCATCTGAAGCAATTGCCCTGTGGCCCTCTGCATTTGGCGCCGTGTGGACTTTCCTGCTGTTCTGGCCCTGTCATCGCCCTCCAGCGGCAGGGAAACTGGCGTCTTTGAGCTGTGAGGGACAATGTGGCTGCTTCCACAGCTATGTGATTACATGATTTCCGGGATTCTCTCTTTTCAAGCGGGAGAGAGAAAAGTGAACTCCTCTTTCAACGCTTCTCTTCGTTTCTCTTTCTACTGTAAGAGCAGAGCTCGGCGCTTGGGCATTTCTTCTGCTCTCTAGTCATTCGTTATCTTATATTCCTATTATCACTCCCGGTACAAAAGGTACATTGCTGTATTCTTTATCCAGCAAATCTTTGTCGCCAGTGGCCGTGTCTTTGATCCTGTTGGTATCACTTGATGTGGCATCCATATAGCGCTCCTCTCAGACGAAAGCTCATGAGGTTATGTTTTTAGATTCCACGGATACTTTTCACCGGCCGTTTGGTTCTGGCATGTGCCTATGTTGTCCTGATCAGCGAGGAAAACATTAGGACTAGCGATCCGGATCTCTGCTGTGCTCTATGTGCACAGTATCAAATCCTTCCCCCCTCATCCCCTACTACGCGCCGTTTCCTAAGGTTTCCCTTCAAAAACCTCAGCATTCCACGGTGACTTTTGGCAGTGCTGCCTGCACCTACAATCTTTTCCTCTTTGCATCCTTGTCTTGAAAGAACCATTACTCGCCAGCTACAAATTTCAGCACGATGGCTTCAAGTGAAGCAAGTATGACAGCCATCTATGTTCATGCCGGTGCTGGGTTTCATAGCCATCAAAGTGAGGAAATACATTTGTGGGTTTGCAACCAGTAAGCTTCTCTCCACGCAACTAACAGTCTCAATTGTATTGCCGGTGATAGTTCGCTTCTGACTGATCCATCAAAGAGCGGCAACCTTGGCCATGGCAGTTCTAAAGTCTGGAGGAAACGCTGTTGACGCCGTTGAGGTTGCGATCAAGTTCCTCGAAGATCATGAGATAACAAATGCTGGATACGGAAGCAATCTTACCATCAACGGTACAGTCGAATGTGACGCGACTATTGTCGACCATCTTGGCCGTAGCGGAGCAGTTGGCGCAGTTGAACGTCAGTGATTGTGTACTACACAGGGAAATGTTCATTACGCTGACGCCATTCTCTTTCTATAGACGTTAAAAATCCAATTGCGCTTGCCCGCGTTGTCCTGGACACGTCAACAAAACCGTTGGCCTTCAACCGGGTGCCTCCGAATCTTATCTCAGGAGCCGGCGCCGTGGAATTCGCCTACGAGCAGGGAATACCAGTCCTTCCCCCAAACTCGCTTGTATCTAAGGGTGCCAGAGAACGCTGGATTCGTTGGAACCATGAATTGCAGCAACTAGAACTTCAGCGCCAAGAACAGGAATGGGAAGCCGGGTATCGCCTCTCACGTAAATCGACTGCAAAGAAAGCAGGTCATGGATTTGGGAATTCTAGTCCTGGATCATCCCACCGCTCAGGGCGCAGCATTAATTCGCCAAGGAATCTAGGACGTGTGGATTATACCCCAAGCCCGGACGGCTCTGTGAGGGAAGCTTTAACGTACGAGATGGATCTAGACACAGCAGCGTATGGTCATTCCGTCGATGCCCTTCCGGACGATGGAGCTTCAGATGCAGACGCAGATGAGGAAACTGATCTAGATTATGATGAGCATCTCGTTAACTTGACGTCGGTCATACCGCTGTTCACGGAAAACGGCCCAAGTACTCCTGTCAACCCTTCGCCCCCGAACAGCCCACATTCGATGTCCAGCATAACCGACACTGACCGTATTGACTTGGACACCGAGGAGCTTGCAACATCCAAGGCAGAAGAACAGTTCGTCGGAAGTGATGATGACATCAGTGATACGGTTGGTGCTATTGCCATCGATTGTTACGGGAACATCGCAGCAGGCTCTTCGTCAGGAGGAATTGGGATGAAGCATTGTGGTCGAACTGGACCCGCTGCATTAGTTGGCGTTGGCACCGCCGTTGTTCCATCGAATGCCAGCGATGAATTGGGTACATGCACCGCGGCGGTGACTAGTGGCACTGGTGAGCATATGGCCACCACTATGGCTGCCGGAGTGTGCGCAGAGCGGATATATAACAGCACTCGAAAGGCCTCAACTGGACCGGGAATCCTGGAAGAAGTCACAGAGGATGAAGCCTTGAAAGCTATGATCGAGAATGAGTTTATGGGTAAGTCTCAGCCTTATTCCGATCCATCGTCTCAATCCATTCGTCGACAATTCTCACCAGGATTTGCAAATGCTACGTCGATACTAACTGTTGTCTTTTATTCAACTGTGACTTTTAGGTCATCCGGGTGTCAAAGCAAGTCACTGCCATGCTGCCATAGGAATCATGGCTGTGAAGAAAACAAACAAGGGCATTGCGTTATATTTTGGACATAATACCGATTCTTTTGTAAGATATCATTCCCAAAATACGCAGCATTGGGTATGGGCTAACTGCAAATTCCCTTTACCGCAGGCAATTGCTTCCATGACCACCGAAGATCCCGAGCCATGCTGCCTAATGTCCCGAAACAAAGGCAACGGAAAAGTGGCGCAAGGGGGAAGGTTTACCAAATTGAGCGGGTAAGTTCAATTTCCTTGACACTGCCGACGGCTTTACTTGTACTATCGCTGCATCAGAGAAGCCGGTCGCGATGCTGATAAACTGAATTAGGGGCAAATCTAGGTACAAGCCGAAGTAAGGCGTGAAGCATCCTTGCTAAAAGCACTATCGAGAAGTTTTGTTCAATTTGGAAACCCCCTCATGAAGCCCCTTGAAGGTCACCGGCAACATTGGGAAGACGGTGTTTTCTTACCTAAATTCCATTTCTCTCGCCGATCGCTTGCGTTTCTAATGTAGTCAGATCCTACGACAGGAAGCGGCTCGGGGTCTCATAAGCTTTGGTAGGCAGGGTTGGTTATACCGAACCTTGAAGAAGGGCATGAAGCGAGGAAAAGCGGGAAGGTGTTCTTAACCTACGGATTAGACGTGTCTACAACCATCCCTAATTCTAGTTCCACTGGCTTTCATGTGCGACAAGGCTCATAATGATACCAGGAGTTTAGGCATTTCTCAGGCTCATCCTTGAAAAGTTCATTCACAAAGAATCCCTTTTGAAATTGCTTTCGGAGCAACCTTCATTCCTAAGCCAAAAGTTCAGTATACAAACGCTAAATGATCCCACGCGGGAAAATAGACTTCGCTATGAGCATAACAACGTCGTACTATGAGGCCGTAGACTGTGCTACTTCAGGGCAGCGTAGATGTCGGCGTCGAATGAGGGATTGGGGTTGCTCCTCCGGATGAGCCCCCATTTGCGTTAGGTCCTTTTCCAGTACCCTTTTTACGTTTCTTTTTCCTTGCAACGACAACCGGTTTCGCGCCATAATCGCCCAACTCCAGGTGCGTGCCACAGGTCAAACAGTCTGCGCCCTCTGGGGGTTCACAGAAGATACTTAGGCAGATGCTGCACACAAACCCCACATCGACGACCTTCCGATGGCAGAAACAGGCGGCGCGGAAATCGACATCGACTCTGGTCGGTAGGATCAAATGACTCCTTGATCGCTGATCTGGCAGGAACGCAACCATGAGATATTGCAGGAAGCCTAACGGGTGGTCCACGGGAACATAGATGCCGCGTGTTGCGTCGCAGGCTTGTTGGAGGAAGACGGCGTCGCCGGAGAGCTTGCAGATATCGATTGGGATGTGAAGGCGCTGGCACGCGAAGATGCTGTTCATGATTGGGATATATTGGTGGGCGGATCCGGTGGCGCTGCTGACGGAGATGATGAGGATGCGGGATTGGAGGCCTGAGAGGTTGCGGTTTGTGTTGGAAGACGGATCAAAGGTTGAACCTGGGGGTGGTGGGAGCGCGGAGGCGGTTGGGGCGGGGTTAGATGGGTCAGCGTCAAGTTTGGCGGAGGAGGCGCCGTGAGTTTCGGCGTAGACGATTGTTTCGCGGTTGATGTGGCTGAGGGCGAGGGTGAGGGCGCCAGCCATCATGGTTGAGGTGGTGGAGCTGAGGGAGGCGGGAGAGGTGGTCGAGAGGAGATCTTTCAGGTTGCGGGTTAGCTGTTCTTCAACGATTCGAAAGGGCCGGTATTTATTGGATTGGGTAGGCGGTGGGTTTGACGAGGACATGTTGGTGTCTCCGTCTGTGTCTGTTGAGCCATTCTGGCTGTTTGATGGGCTTGTAGTTGATGCGGGATACAGCCATCGAGCTTCCTGGGAGTGGCTAGCAACAACCGCCACTTTATTTGCATAATTGCACGCGAGATGGGCGTTTATAAAGACGAGCAGGTTTGCGACGGCGGTAGAGAGCGGGAGGGTCTCTTCAAGCAGGGCCCAAGCGTGCGGGTTTGTGTCCAGGACAATGGTTAGAAGCGACGGAGAGGTATCTAGTAGATAGAATCCCTTCATTAGCTTGATTTCAACTCGTCCAGCCACATGTTTGAGAGTGATCATACCCGCTGAGCTGGTGTCATAGTGATCGGACGCATCGACGGCATTCATGGTGTGGCATGCAAGCAGAAGGAATGCCCAACGCACCCCGCCTGTCTTGGTCTAAAGTTCGGAGAGTGTCAAGCCTTCTCTCTATGTCCAGGTTGTTGGACTCCTTTCCCGGCGAGGAACGATGACTCTGTC